TGGGTCCCTCTCTACCCGTCTCTTGTGAGGCCGGCATCACCTGCCGCCTCGCGCGGGGGCAGCGGGAAAGCCCTCCACAATCGCCGGACTTCAGAGAGTGGTGTAGTGTGGGGCAACCCCCTCTGGGAAGACACCCACTCTCTGGGCACCCCAGAACAGCTTCCCCACCCCCAACACCTCCCTCTGCTTGGCTGATCATGCCTCAGGCCCTGGCAGGGCGAGCAGCGCCCCCTGCTGGTCAGGTAAGGATGTGCGCTCTGCTCCCGGGGCTGCCTAGATCCCACCTGCTGGGCGGTTGGGCCATGGCAGACACAAGGTAGCACGGTCATTATAACTGACTAAGTGCTTTCTATGCCTTGTTCTTTCACCCTGATAAAACCTAAAGGGCTAACACTGTTATAATACTGTTCTGCATATGAGGAAACAGAGAGGCTGAGTAGCTTACCCAAGGCCACACAGAAAGGGGCAAAGCCTGTCCTGCTGCTTCGATCTGCCATCCCGAGTCCTGCCACCTCCCGGGCAAGAGGGATGTTTTCTCAGAGAAACCGGGATGCAGGGTGAGCAGGGGGCGGGGGAGCCACGCCAGCTGGGACTGGTCCTAACTCCAGGTTGGGAGGCCGCTCCGAGCGCGAGAGAGGCTGGGCTGCACACCCATGCAGCCACCGGGCCACCTCCATCGATCCAGGCCTCTCATCGCCCACGGACTCGCCTCTCACAGGCTGACCACAGCTCCGCACCCAGGGTCCTCGGGCCCGCTGGGGCTCAGTGGTCCATAGCTGCCCGGGTTAATGACCAAGTTGCTCACGATTTTGTGTGTGTGTGTGTGTGTGCGCCCACCTGTACTTTCTAGGGAAAATGTCCCCGCTGTTCCCAGAGCCTAATCTCCAAAGACTGAAACCCGTGGACTTTCTTCGCGTGTAGAACTTCCCGAACCCCACCTAATGCTTAGGGAGCGAGGACAGCTGAGTCGTCTCGTGTGAAATGCTTCCCTCTGCTTGTGTTGAGGTACCCTCCGCCGCCTGGAGCTGCACCTGCTTCCACTGCCCAGGAACCCGCCTCCACACCCCCCACTGCTGCCAATCAACTCTGCCCAGCCTCAGCACTTCCATGTCCTCCTCCAACCCGTGCTGGCCAGGGCCGAGGCTCGTCTGTGAGGTAGGTGCAGTAACCAGTGTGGCCAGCAGGGGTCGCACTCCCTGAGGCATGGACCAGTAGAAGGAGTCTGCGCATGGCGGTGATCAGTGTGTGTTCTGGGTCTGGCCTTTCCCCTCTGCGGGCCTCAGTTTCCCCCCTCTGTAAAATGGCCTGGGCTGGTTACTGGCCACTTCCCACACGGACATCCCTGGATGCTGGGAGGAGGAAGCTGTCTTCGACTCCCATGGTCCAGCATCCTCCGAGAATGGGACACGATGACCCTGGGGCCCTTCCCCCAATGCAGCTGAGAAAGGGGGCCACTGCCCCCTGTTTAAGGAGGAGCTGAAGCCACGGAGAAAGGGGGGCTCCAAGTCGGGTGCCCCAAGAGCTGCCTGGGGGCTGGGGGAGGGGGCCCCCACTGGGGCTTCCCTGGATGGGAGGGCCCAGAGCTGGGAACTGGAGGGCCCAGTGACAGGCCAAGGCCTGGGGATGGGGCAGGGGAGCCTTGCAGAGACCTGGGGGAGGGTTCCAAGGAGCTCCCCCCACCACACACCCAGTCCTCCAGCCCCACCCTCTCTCCGCTCCCCACCCCTCCCCCCCAGTGACTGAAGAAGGAGACAGCCATGACGATGATGTAGAACTTTCTCTACAAAAGTTATAATGAGCCTGAGGGAGGGCGCATGGGGGGGGCCCTGCCCCACACGGGCAGAACTGGCAGCACCTGGGCCCTGAGAGAGAGGAGTCGGCACTTGGGGGTGGCCCCAGGCTAGGCCCTGGGGGAGGTGGCCGGGGTGAGGCTCTACCTCCTCCTCAGGGGCACCGGAGGCTCTGGGCTGTGCTCCCAGCTGGGCCGCTTCCCAGGCTGTGGCCAAGCCGGGGGTGGGCCGCGGCAGGAGGGAGGGCACGTGTGTGCACACACATGTGCGGGCTCCTGGGGGCACGCGGCTGGGGACATGCGCTCTGAGGACCCTCTGGCTGGCCTCTCCCTGGTCCCATCACCATCACCACGCTGGGACCCATGGTGAGCTCTGGCTCACGACCCAGGCAGAATCAGGCCACAGCCTGGGCCCTGGAAGACCGTGAGGAAACCCCCAATGAGCGCCTCCCCCCAGGGCACACTCACACTCACTGTCACACTCACACTCACCAGCCCCGGGGGCCTGGGGACAAGTAGTGAGCCCCACTCTTCCCTGTCCACACAGCAGGACCTGCCCGCAGGGTCCCGCACCCGTCACGCCCAGCCTCTGCCTGTGGGGGGCCTGGGAGACCCTGGAGCAGTTGGCAGGTGCCCGCCAGGCCTGGGGCCTTAATACTGCAGCCTGGTGTTCTGGACCTTGTCCAGCACCCTGGCCCTCGGGGCCCAAGGGAGGACAGACGGAGAGGGCGGGACCACCCTGACTCTGCCCCAGGTCACCCGCACCCCACCCCAGCTCCCAGCTCCTGGCCCTGCCTTGTGCGGGGTGGGGTGGGGACCGAGAGTCGAGTCGTTTGGCTGAAGAGTGCACTGGGACCCTCCCCTCCGGGCAAATGGGGAAGGGGAGGCGGCCCAGACTCTTCCTTTTACAAAATGCAGGAAGCAAGCGAGGGCTGGGGAGAGGTGGGAGAGACAATGGGCCTGGGACTCCCAGCCAGCTCTGATGTCATCCAGTCTGCCCGCCCTCTGGGGCTGGCCTTCCGCTCACGTGGTGGTGGTGGGGCAGCTCAGGGGTCTGGGATGGCTGGGAGTGGACAGGCCTCTCCTATGTGGTCCTTGCTCCAAGGGAAGGGGCGCGGGGCTGGCGGCTGTGGGGGCCTCGTGGCCCCACTGTGGCTTGTGGCACTTGCAATTCATTTGGTGCGGGGGCGGGAGGGTCCAGGATCACCTGTGGAGAAGAGACAGAAACACAATGTTAGGGAGGCCTTCAGGACCACGTGTTCAACCAGGACCCACCGTGCTGACACACCCCCCTCTCCGGGCACGTGATGATGCTGGCCTGAGGGTGACCCCCAGCCCCCAAACTCCAGACCAGACCATCTGCCCCACCCATCATTGTCCCAGCCACTCGGGGCGAAAGCCATGGGCACCCAACAGGAGCAGTGGGCGTGTGGGGTGCCTGGGGTCAGGGGCCAGCCAACATCTCCCCGGGAATGGCAGCAGCCTTGGCCGATTGCGACGGCTTCTCATTCTTTTTTCAAGAGGCGGAAACAGAGCAAGAGGCAGACAGACAGGTGCTCATTCCCCAAACCTGCAACGGGCCAGGCCAGGGCTGGCACCAGGAGCCGGAAACCCATCCAGGTCCCCCATGAATGACAAGAACTCAGCTACTTGGCCTCCCAGGGTCTCATTAGCAGGAAGCCGGAGACGGGGAGCACTCGGGAATCGGACCCGGAGCTCCCACGTGGGATGCAGGCATCTGAACCCGCACTCTGCCTCCAAGGCTGCTGTTGGCCTCACTGGGGTATGTCCTGGTGTTCCCAGTTGCAGAGTTTAAGGGCAACAAGAAAAGCAGGTGCCCCAAGAGGAGGCCTGCTGGCTGCCACACCCGCGTCCTACAGGAGTCACCCCTGTCCCCAGTGCTCGAGCCCACAGAGCAGGAATCAAGCCCAGCTCCGCGCTGAGCAGCGGTGGCACTGGCGTGAGCTCTCCTAACCCTCCGAGCCCCACATGCTCATCCGTGGTGAAATGGGGGTGATGGAGGGCACCCCACGCACGGGTACAGGAAGATCACACCAGAGAGGACGGGGTCAAGGGCACAGCCCAGGCCCCGGCAGGTGGGAGGCCACACAAACCCTCGCTGCATCTGCAGAAGTGATATGCATTTCACCCTGGCTGTGATGACAGCCCTGAGTCACCATCCAGTGCAACTGAGTTGCTGGGGCCTCTTGGCATCGTGAGTGGCCTGGATTTTATAAAGAGTGTGGGTTACCCCGTTCCCACTCCTGAGAGCGCAGATCCCCCCTCCCCACACCCCACGCCCAGGCTGAGCACTCACAGCTCCGTGTCCTCCAGGGCGGGCGGGCGCTCCAGCGCCTGCCTCCGCCTCCGCACGGCCCCCAGGATCTTCTTGCGGGGCCCCAGGGGCACGCTGATGCTGCGGAGGTCCAGGTCGGAGCACAGCATCAGCGCCTCCAAGTCGATCTTCTCCTGCCGCAAGAGGGCAGCAAATCCTGCAGGTGCAGCGCGGCCAGGAAGTGTGTCCAGTGGCTCGTCTCGGGCTCCAGGTCCTCGTCCAGCCCCAAGTCCAGCTCGTCCCAGGGCAGCTCCTCCCCGCAGCTGCGGTCCTGCAGGCTGTTGGCACTGCCCAGGCTGTCCTCGTCCAGGCTCGGGGAGCTCTGCAGCCGGCCCCGCAGCGTGCCGGCCCCGTCCAGCCCCGAGTCCTCGCGGCCCACCGTGCAGCCCGCTGCTCATAGTCCCTGCGGAAGACCATGGTGCCCAGGCCGGGCGGTGAAGAGGGAGTCGTGGCCGGAGTCAGTGCTGACCTCCGATGGGCAGGCTCGGGCGCCAGCGTGGCACGGGAGACGCTGTCCTCGCGGAGAGGAACATGTCCCGGAGCGGGGCGCGGCCCCACTCCTTGGGGTTGGCATAGGTGCCCGGGCGCACGAACATCACGTCGCTGCCCAGCTGCAGCCGGACAGCGAGCGCACGCTCTTGCGGCCGTCCTCGGAGCCTTGAACGTGCCCTCGCCGCCCTGCTTGCGCCGCTCCAGCTTCTTCTGGATCTTGGTCTTGCCCCTGGCCGTGCCGTGCAGCGTGGCCTGCGAGTAGGGCAGGGGCTGCCCAGCGCCAGGTGCTGCAGCCGGCGGCTCAGGGTGCTGGACGTGAGGCTGGAGAAGCTGAGTGCGTCCGAGCGCTCCGCCAGCTCGCGCCGGTAGCGCCGCTCCATGCGCTCGTGGTGTTGCGCTGCATCTTGGCGCACTCGCGGATGCGTCGCTCGGCCTCGCGGAAGGCCTTGTCCTTCAGCTTGCCACCAGCTTGGGGCTGAGGCTGCTCTGCTTGGCCGCGATGGAGTCCAGGTAGCGCACGCACTCCATGTGGCCCGTCATGGCGGCCATGTCCAGCGGCGTGTGGTAGTCGTTGTCCAGGCACCAGATGTTGGCCCCGAAAGACACCAGGAAGGACAGGCAGTGCAGGTGCCCGTTGGAAGCTGCCAGGTGCAGGGGCGTGTTGCCCCAGATGTCACACTTGTCTGGGTCCCCCCTGCAGGGAGAACAGGCCTTGGGGAGTCGGGGTGGGGGTGGGGCAGGACAGGGAGGGCGTGGGGGGCAGGGCAGGGGGGCTCCCCGCCCGCACAGCTACCCCGTGGGCACACCAAGCCTGGAAGGGCCCCACGGGCCTGCGAGCTCCACTTAGCACCAGGAACTCTGCAGGCCCAAATGCACCAGGAGGGAGAGCCCCGGAGCACGCCGGGGGCGGGGCAACAGGGAGGGCGGGGCTAGGGCGGGGCCTTCCCCAAGATAACTGAGGGCTGGGAATCTCAGGGGATAAATATTTGATGCTCAGAGAGAAAGGAGTGAATTATTCATGGGCCGGGCGGGGAGCTGGCCAGAGGGGCGGTGGGCCAGGGCGAGTCTGGGTCCCTAGGCAGGTGTGGTGGTGAGTGTAACTACGGTGGCGGGGTGACCGTGAGAGAGGGTGGCAGTGCGTGCTGGACCAGAGCCCTGGGGGAGTGTGTGTTTGAGGGCAGGAGCTTGTGTGTCTCTCCGGCTTGGCCATGGCTGAAGGGAGCGGGGCCAGGCCTGGCAAGGCTGAGTGTGAGAGCAGGTGTCGGGGCTTGGCCTGGGCCAGGAGGGGACTGTGGGGGCAGCCAGGACAGGAGCGGGGAAGAGGGCGGCGGCTGGAGGCCTGGCTGCCCTCCCTTTCCCAGGCTGCAGGACACTGGCTGACCAGGGGCCCCAACAGCCCCCTCCCCACCAGACCGTGCCCTCCCCCCATGCCCAGGGCAGTTCCCACACCGGCTCCTCCAGAGCTCTGGCCTCCCTCAGGGCTGGCCACAGCACCACTGCTCCATGCTAATGAGGCCATGAGGCCACCCCAGGCTGGGGGAAGAATCACTCCCTTGTCTCCTGGTCTCCGCGGCTCCACACACACCCCCTGCTCAGCTTCCCCCGGTGGTCATCAGGCTGGGCAGGGGCTCTCCGCACCCAGCCCCCACCTCATCGAGCACATCCTTGGCCCCTGTAGGAGCTGAAGGCTTGGCTGCACCCAGGGGCACCCTCTTCCCCTCCTGCCATGAGTCTCAGCAGGAGGGGGTAGGGAGACAGCACACCCTGTGCCCTCCCAGGTGGGGAGGGGCCGGCCACCGTTGGCCTGGAGGACCAAGCTCAGCTGCCTCATCTTAGCAGTTGCTTCCCCAAGGAGCAGCCCAGAGAGAGGCCAAGGTGGCGGCGGGGGTGGGGGGTCTCCCCCACTTGCCACCTGTTGAGGCCCCAGGCCGACGCCTGGCGCCAGGACCTGCCAAGTCCTCTGATTGCCTGGGCAGCCCTCCCAGCCACACTCCTGTCAAGGCCCCCTGGTGTCCAGGCCAAGCCTCTATGGGGCTGGAGGCCCGGGGTGGGGGGTGGGGAGCTGCAGACTGCCAGGAGCCCACTCAAGCGGCCCTGGGATCTGCATTGCCCAGCTGTTACCTCCAATCTCTCCCTGACCCCTGGACTCCATCCGTGCCCACCCCTTCCCCCAGGACAGCTCCAAAGAGTGGGGAAGAAGTCCCTCCAGGCTGAGCCCAGCCAGCCGCCCCACTGCAGGGGGCAGGGTGCCGAGGGAGTTCATGGGATGGCTGAACCAGTGACATTTGGCCCTGCGGCCAGTGCCCATAAATCCCAGGAATGAGTAGGGAGAGGGGACAGCTGTGTGAGACCCAGCCTGCAGGGGGGTGTGGGAGCTGCTGGGACAGCTCTGTGGGTCTGTGGGCAGCCAAGACCCCTGCCCTCCTGGCCCCCATCTTGGGGTCTCTGAGAGGTCTCAGCCTTCTCTTCGGCTCTCCCTACAACCCCTGACTCTCACTTCTAGGTGGCCCCCACCCAGGAGATGACTCTCCCTGCCCCTCACCCTGCGGCACCCCCCAACATGGGACCCCAAGTCCCAGACCCGCCCCCCCGGCGCCACACCTGTTCACAAGCCTCAGGTGCCGCACCTGTGTCTCCCTCCACATGCCCCCCCCATGCCAGGCTCTAAGGTCCGACCCCAGGGTCTGCTTCTGGGGAAGGGGGGCAGCTCAGAGGGGGAGGGGCCGGTGTCCGGGCTATCGGACTCACCCACGGCTCACGATGAGACGCAGCGACTCCAGGTTGCCGTGGTAGGCAGCCCAGAGGGTGGGGGTCATGCCGTCCTCGTCGGGGGCATTCAGCTCCTTCCGGGTGGCCTCCTTGAGGAGTTCCAGGTAGCCGTCCCGGGCCGCCCGGTGGTACTGGTCGTTCATGGCGCCCGACGTGGACAGGGCGGGCAGGGGGCCCGAGGCACGGGGAAATGCCCTCCGCAGGGGAGGGCAGCGGGGTTAGGGCTGAGGCATGGGGTTGGGGGAGGGGGCCGGGCCGGGGCCGGGGCGCCAGCCCCCGCTGCCGCAGGTGGAGGGTGCGGAGCGCCAGCGCCTGAGCTACGGGGACATCTGGACCGCTCCACCCCGCGGGGGGAGGGGGCATCCTCCCGCCTGCCCAGGGAGCCGCCCCGGGCTTCCCCTGGGTCCTAAACACCCTGCTTCCCCGCACACAGTCGTATCCCACGCGAGGCCCTGGCCGCTCCCCAAAGTGCCCACCCCGGGGACATCCCTCGAAAAGACCCAACTTGGAGACAGTTCGGGTCCGCCCTCACGACAAGCCCCCACGCTGCGGCTCTCGGTTTCTTCTCCGGCAAAGGAACGGGCCCGGGGCTGGGGAGGGCTCTGAGGCGGAGCGGAGGGGCAGTCTCCCGGGGGACGCCCGCAGGTGCGGGGAGACCGCCGGCAAGACGGGCCGCGCGGCGGCCAGCAGGGGGGCGCAGGCGGGCCGGCGGCGGGCTCCGCGCGCCGCGTGGGAACTTGGTGCCCAGCTGGACTTCGCGGCACCGGGTGGAGCCGGGCGTGGGGTGCGGGAGGGGCAGAGCGAGCCCGAACTTCGGGGGCCGCGAGCGCGGCCGAGGAAAGCTTGGGGTTCCGACCACCGGGCTGCACCCGAGGAGCGCAGAGGAGCAGGGCGCGCGGGGCTGGAGGGCAGCGGGGCGTTCTCCAGCGCCGCTCGCGGGGCTCTGGGCGCGGTGGGGCGCCGGGGACAAGGGTAGTCTTCTGGGTGCCGCAGTGCAGGGCCGCGCCCAGGTGGCGGGGCGGGGTTGGGGGGTGGTTAGCTCTTAGCGCCTTATCTGGCTCCCGCGCGCTCTTCCCTAATTCAGCTCGGAGGAAGATGGATCCTGTGAGTGGAGCTGAGAGGTTTATAGGAGCCGAGCTCCCGGGCTGTAAATCACCCTACCCTCCCGGGTATAAAGCGCCCGTCCAGCCCGGCGTGGGACAGAGCCCTGACCCCCAGCTCAGCGCCGGCTCTCGGCGCAGCCAGGTGGGTGCCAGGGCAGGAGGCGGGGGGTCCGTCGGACTCGGGCAGCGGGCGGCGGAAGGCTCCTCCTTGCTCTCCTGCCCCGCGAGTGCTCCAGCACCCGCGGTCCCCTCATCTGGGGATACGCTGCGGGAGGGAGAGCCGTCGAGGCTGACCTGGGGCCCCGGTCTCTCCTCGCCTCGCCCGCAGTGAGCCCTCCGAGCCTCCTCGGGTCGCCCCGCCATGTCGGAGGAGCTGGCCTCGGGCCCCAAGGAGCGCCCGCCGGCGCTGCGCGCGGGCCCCCGCGAGGTGTGGAAGAAGGGCGGCCGCCTGCTCTCGGTGCTGCTGGCCGTGAACGTGCTGCTGCTGGCCTGCACGCTGGTCAGCGGCGGCGCCTTCGAACAAGGTGGCCGTGTACGACACCGACGTCTTCGCCCTGCTCACCACCATGATGCTGCTGGCCTCGCTCTGGATCCTCTCTACGGTCCTGCGCACCGCGCGCTGTCCCGGCGCCGTCCCCTACCTAGACGCGCACGCCGGCCCCATCTGGCTCCGAGGTGCCCGCGGCGGTGCGGCAGACGCGGGGGCTGGGGCCCTGGGCGGGAGGGCAGAGGTGGTGGGTTCCCCAGTTCCCGTGCGGGGGGGGGGGGATGGATGGAGAAGAGCGAGGTGAAGGGGCCTGGAGGAGCGGTGGACCGAGCGGTATTGGTGGTGGTGACGGGGGGGGGGAGGGGGGGGGGGCCTCTGTGCCCTGTACAGACACTGGAGAAGGGGTCAGCGCGGAGAGCTGGAGGGAGATCAGGAACCGATGAGAATGGCGCCGAAGTGCCCGTCCAGGGCCCTCCCCCTTCTCTATGGCTCCCCAAAGAGAGGGGGCTTGGTGGGACCCAGTCCTACGCTCAGCCTCCCAGCCACCCAGCCAATCGCATTCAGCCTTCCATCCCCCTATCCATCGCTCAATCCCTCCATCTGCCCATCCCCCACCCAGTCCTCCCCTCGTCTGCCATCCACCTGCCCATCCTCCACTCCATCCATCCCTCAGCCGGCCGGCCAGCCACCGTGCGATCCACCTGCGTCCCCACCCGTCCTCAGCTCTACCCGCCCTCTCTCCTGTCTCTCTGACCCCCTGATCCGCAGGTGGGCTGGTGCTGTTTGGGACCTGCACGCTCGTCATGGACGTCTTCAAGACCGGCTACTACTCCAGTTTCTTCGAGTGCCAGTCGGCCATCAAGATCCTGCACCCACTCATCCAGGCTGTGTTTGTCATTCTCCAGGTGGGTGGGAGGGCGTCCCTGCGTGCAGGGTGACCGAGCCAGCACTGGCGAAGTGCCAGGAGACCTGAGCCCCACTCCCCCTTCCACCCTGAGCCCCACTCTCCCTTCCACCCTGAGCAGTTAACTAAGCCGGGGAGTGGGACTGTGGTGGGGACCACCCAAGTCTGTAGAAGTGGAGCAATATCCAAGTGTGGGCTTCTCCTCTGGGCCCCGCACTTCCCTTCAACCTAAGCCCGCCAGTAGCTACCACCTGGGAGGTGTGAGTCGCGGCAGCCGGCCTCGTCTCCTGGAACCTGGCCTGCCCTCCTCGGATGCCCCCTGAGGACATCTGTCTCAGCCCAGCGTCCCGCTGCGGGCGTGCTGCCTTGGCTTCAGCCACGGCTCCCATGTTCTGCATGGCTTGTTTTTCTTCTTATTATTTTAAAATATTATTGTTTATAAATGTGAAAGGGAGGCAGAGATCTTCCATCCGCTGGTTCAGTCCCCAAATGCCTGCAACAGCCAGGGCTCAGCCAAGCCAAAGCAGGAGCCCAGAACGCCATCTGGGTCTCCCACGCAGGTGGTAAGGGGCCAACCACTAGAGCCATGACCTGCTCCCTCCCAGAGTGTGCAGGAATCAGAAGGAGAAGCAGGATGCGACCCAGGCGCTCCTGTAGAGGATGCAGGCGTCTCTCGCCTCTCGTGTTCTGTATCTTGACCGGAAGGAAGGAGTGAGTGCTGGCACTGTGCTCTTTCACGTGGGTCAGGCCGGTTTTCCTTGGCTGCCTCAATGGCACTTTGCAAGCTCTTCTGACTGAGCTGAGGCAGGACTGGTCTTGCCTGGGACCAGAACGGACCCCCAGCCCTGGATCACGACCAGAGTGACCGCATGATGGGCACCCACCGCCCCACCCCGCTGCCTGGGGCTTCCATGGCTGCACACAGGTGTGGCCTCGGGCGTGTAGGTAGTTTCAGACTTTCACATTTTACGGGTTTTGAAGCTACGAGCATGCAAACACCTCACAGCAGGGATTCTGGGCAGCCCGACGGGGGCCACGCCTGGCCGGGCAGCAAGGCAGCAGGGCCCGGGATGCCGACTCTTTCTGCTCCGAACAAGCCCCGGCCTGAAGCTGGCCTTGCTCCCAGGAACAAATAAGCAGGCAGTCAAGAATCTTCTGGGCTTCGTTCCGCTCACCCTCAAATCCCCCAAGACCGGGGAGATTCACAGGTGCAATTTTGCAAACCTTCAAAGAACAGAGAATCACTACTTTGTGCAACTATGCTGGAGACTGGATGGAGAGGACACCTCTGGTCTCCTTTTGCAAAACTAGAATAAACTTGGCGAGTGAGGGCACGCGCTCCTGGGGCGGAGAGAACTTGACCGGGGCATGGGCGCGGACGGGGACATCGCAGCTCAGCCGACATGGAGTAATGACCCTCACTCTCTCTCCCGATGCAGACGTACTTCCTCTGGGTCTCCGCCAAGGACTGTGTCCACGTCCACCTGGACCTGACCCGGTGAGAGCCACCGCTCAGTGTCTGCCCAGTGTGCCCCTGTCCACCCTGCTCGCTCTCCGGCCTGGGTGGGGTCCCAGCCACGGCCCCCTCACTTTGCCACACATGAGCGGGGCAGCCTGAGCCCTGGACACACTGTGGCCCTCTCCGGGGGGGCATCCAAACTCAGCTTCCCTGTTCACACAGGGAGGGGCCCGGCTGCTTTCTCCTTTCTCATCACCATCTCTCAGGAGAGAGCCGGGGGGTCCCCACACAAGCCCAAGACTCACCGGCTCCGTGGGGCTCCCACCACAGGTTCGGACTCATGTTCACGCTCACCACCAACCTGGCCATCTGGATGGCAGCCGTGGTAGATGAATCCGTGCACCAAGCCCACTCCTATGGCAGCTCTCACGGCAACACCAGCTACACCCGCCTCGCCCCTGACTGTGAGTTCTCCCCCACCGGGCCCTGGGCTGGGTGCTGTGTGGCTCCATAGAGTCAGCCTCCCACACCAACCCAAGGACACGGGGGCGAAGGTGGCGCCTCCTCCAGCTGTGCCTCTGAAGTCTGGGTGTAGGTGACAAGGGACAGGGAGGGGTCCCAGCCATGGCCCACTGTCCGGGTCTCCATCTTGCCATGCAGCGCCCTGCCTCCAGGGATGACCCAGCTGGAGAAAGGGCAGGGAGGCAGAGTGGGTCTCAGGTGGAAGCGTGGGGTCAGGCAGGAGGGTCTGGGAGGGACAGCACAGTGACAGTCGCAACTCCCTGAGCTCTGTGTCGCTGCTAGACCCCACAGCGCCCCCTGGGAAACGGGGACTGTTAGTGCATGCATTTTACACGCACAGAGAGCAGCTTGTCCCAGGTCACAGAGCCTGAGAGACCCAAGTGTGTTGTTCAGTTTTGTCTTTGCTTTTAACCAACACGCTACTGTAGAGAAGAATGGAGTCTGTGGCTTCCAGGTCCTACCTCTCTGGACTTTTCTGGAGCCTTCCACTAGCCAGGGCCAGACCAGATGACTGGGACACACACCCACACACCCTAACCCCCAGCGTGGCAGCAGCCAGGGACAGAAAGCATGGGACAGCTCGACCCCAAACGACTGCTCCGGGGCCACCTTGCAAATAGAGGATGCCTGGGCCAGGGGTAGCGGGGAGAGTATCAACTCCCAAGGGGAGCCCACCGGGGAGACACCCGCCTTGGGGTGGGGAGTCAGGTGGTTTGCTCCAGTTCTGCCATCGCAAGTCACTTCTCCCATTGCACCCCCATTTCTACGTCTGAAAAGCCAGCTAGGACAGGCCTGGGGGTCCAGAGAGATACTGGTCCAGCCCAAAAGGCCTCCAAAGCACACTGGAGAGTCCAGTCAAGATCCCTTTCAATGGGGGCGCAAACCCAAGCGACAGAGGTCTCGGGGCAGCCTGGCCACAGCAGCTGGCTGTCCGGGCCAGGTCAGAAGTGGGGAGAGCTCTGAGGAAGTGCACACTGTAGGAGCTCCCAAGAGACCCCCTCCCTGCTCGGAGAACCAGGTCTCATCTGTCCCAGGGAGCGGGGTCGCTGTGGGCGGAGTGAGGGGGCATCTCGAGCTCAGAGGCTGTTTTAGTTGAGCGGTGGTGTGTCCTGTGGTCTCTGGCACATAGTAGGTGCTCACTGAACATTTGTGGGAGGAACGCCTGTGCCAGGCCCCGTGCAGGCATTTGGGATACAGTGCCGAGTGTGGCAGAGAGAGACTGTGCCCTCACAAAGGTCACGGCCAGGGGCGAGGCCGCTCCTGCAGGGTGGCGGGCAGCCGGCCCCGTGTCCCTCTCTCTCTCCACAGTGGAGCGGGTGGGAGACACAGCCTGTTCCTGCAGCACGCCCGTCTGCCAGATCTTCCAGCAGGGGTATTTTTACCTATACCCCTTCAACATCGAGTACAGCCTCTTCGCGTCCACCATGCTCTACGTCATGTGGAAGAACGTCGGCAGGCTGTTGGCCGCCCCTCAAGGCCACGGCCACGGCCACGGCCCCTCCCGGGTCAGTCTCTTCCGGGAAACCTTCTTCGCCGGCCCGATCCTGGGCCTGCTGCTCTTTGTGGTGGGGCTGGCCGTCTTCATCATCTACGAGGTCCAGGTGAGCGGGGAGGGGGGCCGTACCCAGCAGGCCCTGGTCACCTACTACAGCTTCAACATCGTCTGCCTGGGGCTCATGACCCTGGTCAGCCTGAGCGGCTCGGTCATCTACCGTTTCGACCGGCGCGCCATGGACCACCACAAGAACCCCACCCGCACGCTGGACGTAGCCCTGCTGATGGGGGCTGCCCTGGGCCAGTATGCCATCTCCTACTACTCGATCGTGGCCGTGGTGGCGGGCACCCCCCGGGACCTGCTGGCGGGGCTCAACCTGGCCCACGCCCTGCTCATGGTCGCCCAGCACACCTTCCAGAACGTGTTCATCATCGAGAGCCTGCACCGGGGGCCGCCCGGGGCTGAGCCCCCCCACACACCCCCAAGGAGCCCTGCCAAGGCCTCACCTTCGCCAACCTGGACGCCCTGCACGCTCTGCCTGGCTGCCCACCCACCCCCAGCCTGGCCAACCCCAGCCCAGCAGGCCCTCCAGAGGTCGTGGCCATGATCTTGGCCCCCAGGGGCCACTGGAGACGCGGTGCCTCAGAGACATTTCTCTGTTTCTCCTGCTCTGCAATGTCATTGTGAGTAGCCCGTGGGGGATGGGCCGTGGGCTTGCTTGGCCGTCTCTGTCTTACCCACTGGGCTCTCCAAGGAGCAGGTTCAGAGAGGGCCAGCGGGCTCGCAGCATCCCAGGGCACACAGAGGGAATGAATCCCAGTCTCCCAGCTTCTGTGCAGCCGGTGGAGCTGGAGGGGTCCCAGGGCATGCTGGCATGGGGGCTGGGAGGAGGTGAGAGGGAGCTGAGTGCTGCTGGGGGGGCCCTCACCCCGAGGTGGGAGGTGTGACTGCTCCTGGGAACTTGTGACCTGCCTCCTCAGAATAATTGGAGCAGCGTCAGGAAGTAGCAGGGAGCGGCCTAAGTGTGAGGATCTGTTGGCAGAGAGCAGTGGCCCACTGGGGCGGGGGGTGGGGGGGGAGAGGCTACAACAGCAGCCCCCTCCCCAGTGACTCCGCAAAGCCCACTGCTAGGAGCGAGGCAATTCGCCAATCGGAATCGCACTCCGTAGGGAACACCCCAAGGCAGAAAGCCCCCCAGCGGCGAAACATTCCTAGCGTGGCTGCAACCCAACGTGGAGGTGCCCCAGTGTAGAAGTGACCCCCAGCAGGGAAACACGTGCCCAGGTGGGGAGGCAGGTCCGCAGCCCAGGGTTCAGTCAACCTGGGAAGGAAAAGATCCGGACAGAAATCTGTGCGTCTCTACTGCACACAGACAGGCTCCGTAGCTTAGCATTACTCCCCAAACAGTCGGCACGGCTGTTGACATCGCGTGTCTGGCGTAGGCGGTGTCTGGCGGTGATTTGTCGTCTCCTACGCCATTGTGTAGAGGGACTCCAGCACCTGTGGATTCGGGTGCGTGCAGATGCCGAGGGGAGGCCGGGCACCCCGAGGAGAAAAACACTGAGAACAGCTCTTTCAGACATCACCTCCAGAGAAGACAGGCTGAGGGTCCCCCGACACAGAGAACAGCCCCAGGGTGCCCCCTCCCATAGACCTCCCTTCTCAATACACCAGTGGCCCCTGTGACCGACCGACAGGTCACCCCATACGAGTGCCGTGACCCCGGGCAGGAGCCTCCCAGCAAAGTCCATTTCTTTAATTAAAAAAACAAAAGGTGTGGCCACCAAGCTCTGGCTTTACCAGAAGCATTGAGGCTCAAAACCCCATCGCGGCTTGGGCCAGCTTTGGCGCCAGGCCCCACGCAGGCCAGCTGACCGGAGGCTGCTCCTGCTCCAGGCACCTGAGCCCCACTCACCTCCAACAGGGCAGAAGCAGGCTCCAGCTGGGGCTGTGTGTGCCCAGGGACATGGTGGCCTGGGGCCGGGGAAGGGGAGAGGCCAGCCTAGAAGCCTTAACTCACTGCCTCCTAACCCCACAGCTGAATCTTGTGAGCCCACGGTTGGAGATAAAGCAAGATTTCAGCTTCACCCTCCTGCCAGACGTGGGCAGGGGGCCTGCTGGTCCCACCGCCAGCACCCCTGGGCGCACAGCTCTTCAGCTGCCAATTGGCCGCTCACACCTGGTTTTTCCACCATCTATAGAAACTTCTATCCCACAAGTGGGTCAGCTGGGAGGGCCGGTGGGAGAGGCGACCACAGGGGGGCATCCCTGGCGAGCAGTGGTCAAGTTCAGATGAGGACACAGTGCAGGAACCTGTTCAAGACGCCGGAGGTCCCCACGTGGTGACTCCCAGCCCTGGCTGCCCACAGAACCACGAGGCTGGGATTCCCACCTGCAAGGCCTGCGGAAGGACCCCCGGGGCCATCCCCGGCCGGGTCTGACACCGTCCCCCTCCTTCTCTGCACAGCTGTGGATCATGCCGGCCTTCGGGGCGCGCCCTCACTTCAGCAACACGGTGGAAGTGGACTTCTACGGCTACTCGCTCTGGGCAGCCATCGTCAACATCTGCCTGCCTTTCGGCATCTTCTACCGCATGCACGCCGTCTCCAGCCTGCTGGAGGTTTACGTGCTGTCCTGAAGCCCTTCCGGAGCCTCACCGGCTCCCGGGCCCACTCGGAGCCGCTCCAGGAGAGAACCCCAGGCTGGCAGTCCCGGAACCACAGCGCCACCCAGCCCCTACTGGCCTCGCAGTGGAATTTGCACCAAAGTTATTTTTTTTTCCAGGATGAGTTTTTAAATCACAATCAAGACTTGTCCAGACGCCCCAGCGTGGTGAGGTGACTCCTGCAGGAGAGGCGAGGGCTGGGGGTGCCGGCTGGGGCTCTATCCCTCATCTGCCCTGTGACCTGGGCAGTGCACTGTGCCTGGAGCTGGGCACCAATAAACCTGCGATTCGCCCCCTGACCCCCACGTCTCGTCTTCTGAGATGCCCACAGAAGAGGATCTTGGGGGTCAGAGCCGGAAGTACCCCCTGGAGATTTTCAGTGGTTGAGCCAAGTTCAAATTGTAGGCCAGAAAAAAAAGTGGGTAACTCGGAGGCTGGGCGAGGCTGGGAGCTTCCAGGCCGCCACCTTCCCTTCCCCTTTATCTCCAGGTGACACACACGTGTACTCGTAATTTATTCCATGACATGAGAGAGGTGGGCGGGGCCAGCCTAGTCCATTGTCCACATTTCACAAAGAAGGAGGCAGAAGCTGGGGAGAGGCAGTGGCCTGGGAGAGGTCACACAGCTACAGAGAGCCGGAGCCTTGCTTCCCGGGCGGCTGATGCCTTCCCCCTTTAAGTTACGGGTTGCAGGAACCCACGCCCAGGGCACAGACACGCAGGGGGCAGCTCGAGCTGGACAGGACATGGGAGACTCAGACCTCCCGCGCCTGGACCTCCCCCAGGGCCCACAGGTGCAGGGAAGTGCTCACAAGGGCTGGCCCGGGAAGGTTGCAGGGCGGGAAAGCAGGCAATCGGGACGAGGAGGAGCCGGTGGCAGCCGGAGTCCTGGCAGGGGAGGTGCTTGGCCCCTGGGGTGGGAGCAGATGGCACTCTGGGGACAGCTGGTAGCAGTCGCACGGCGAGCAAAGGAAATCCTGCCTGGACCTTGTCCTCAGATGGGCTGGGCGGGTCTCCAGGCCCCGGGGGGCTGCCTCCTGCCTTATCAGAGTGGGCGCTGGCCCCGTCTCTTCCTCCCCAAAGTCCACCTTTGCTCTAAGAGACAGCAAGGGGTCCCTTGAGGCTGCGGGCTGCTAGGCAGGGGACAGGAAGAGGCGGCCCAGACCAGGCGCTCAGGGCGTCCATCCCCAGCCTGGCCTCCAGGGGACAGTGTGACCTGGACCTAGCAGGCTCTGTACTGAGGGCCGACGACATCGCACCCCGAGGGCCAGGGTGAAGCTGGGCCGGCGGAGCGCAGGGCCCGGCTGCCCGCCCGTGTCCCGCGTATGCCCCGCCTCCGGCCCCGCCCACCCGCCCGGCGACCTCGCCATTGGCCGTCCCGGGCCCGAGCCCCTGGCACAGTAATTAACGAGGGATTAATAAGATTCCCAAAGTCAACAGAAAAATCGATGGGCAGGGGAGCCCGAGCGGAGGCTGTGCAGTCGCACTGGGCCGTCGGTCGGTCCGGGCGCCCGAGCCTCCCCTGGACGCACGGTAGGCGCTGCGCCCGCAGCCTGGGGCAAGCCGGTGGCGATGACTGCCCAGGCCTCAGGTAAGGTCCCTGGCGCCGAGCTGGGGCGCCCGCGGACTGCTGGCTCTGCCCTTCTGGGGAGCCCACCCCCGCTACTTAGACTCGGCCCCCAGCTCGGGTCGGGAGCCAGAGTGACCCGGGCAGAGGGCCGGCTCCTTTCGACGCTGGGCACGGGCCCTGTGCGCCCCTCACCCCAACCGGGCTCCTCACCCGCATCTCCCTTCCGCCCACAGAGGTCAGCAGGGCGCGCCCCGTCCCGCCGGCTCCACAAAGCCGAGAGGGAGCGCTGGGGCCAGGAAGGAGCCAAAGCCCCGACAGCTGCCTGAAGGCGCGTGGGGCTGGTGCCCCGCCCAGGCCCCCAGCCCCGCAGCTCCTCGGGTGCCTCGGCAGGAGATCCCGACCCGAGTCTGGGCTCAGCAGCCCACTGCGCCCTGACGGCTCCGCGGCAGCGCCTGCCTCTAGCCGGCAAACCAGTTTGGTGTCCCGGCCCTCCCTTGGCCCTGGCGTCTCGCCGAGGGGCGTGCCGGGGGCCAGCGGACTCCTCTGTCAGTTCGGGGGGGCCCTCACCCTCATTCTCTTCCCGTGACCCCTACATGCCCCCACCCTGCCGCATGGGAACCGAATTTGACAGCTCTGCTGGGGGCTGCCGCAAGGTTGGAGCCCAGGGTGGGGACGGGAATATTAAGGGTGAGAGGACTCTGGAAAGAGAGGACCAAGAACCGTGTACCTCTAGGCTGAACTCCCCAGGCCGGCAGGTGGAGCCAAAGGGGCCCCTGAAATCCCCCAGAAACCCTGACTCCACCAGTGTCTCCAGGCCCTCCAGAGAACTGGAAGAAAACGCGCGATTAGCTAACAGAGCTTCCCGTGTGCCGGGTGGCACTCTAAGCGTCTAGCGTGTATTAAATCATTTAGTCTGACAAACAGGTACTATGCATTCATTCCATCTTCTATTCATTCAAGAAATTAATAGTAGTGCCCTGTTACAGAACAGGGGCTCCTGTTCTACAGCTGCAGATCCATTTTACAGATGCAAACACTGAGGCACCTGGAGTCTAAGTAGCTTGTCCTGACCACAGAGGTAGAAAGCGGTGGGATCTGGGCTCTCAGCCACTCACTAGGGCAGGGGTGGGTTCTGGGAAAGGCAAGGTGGAGCCGCCAGGATTGGCAGAAGAGGAACCAGGAGGCGTCCCTGGGAGCCTTGGCCTTGCACAACCTGGGCGGGGGAGCCTGGGAGGAAAACAGGCGCTCCACCTGCCCCAGGGATGGAAAGGGTTAAACAGGAAGGGTCTCTGTCCACAGCCCTGGTGCTGAAACTGCCCCGGCACTGGCCAGAGTGGCGGGCAGACCCTGGGTAAGTGTCACGTCCGTGGTAGCTTTGGTGGCCGTCAGAGTTAAGCAGGACCGGGTCCCTGCCCTGAAGGTGGTGCCGGCCTTGGCAAGCCAGCCACACCCACCACAAGCCAGACAGTGCACGCCCACTCTGGGCGGAGGGGAGAGGCCCAGGAAAGTGGCCACCAGCAGGCTGGGGCAGAGGGGGTGCAAAGGGTGGTGAAGGCTCTGGTGGAAGCTGGGGGTGAGGCAGAAGGAACAGCCGGTTCCAGGAGGGCTGGCAGGACCCGGGAGCCCACAGGAGGAATGAGGAGCCTGGGGTTAGGCCTGGGGGATGGGAGTGGGAGACGTGTGCCCGGAGCTGAACAGGAAGGGAGTAGAACTTGGGCAAGGATGCCAGGGCGGGCTGGGGGAGGGGAGGACACATTCAGTCTTGGGAAGAGACGTGGGTTGTGTTACTCCACCTGCCCCAGAGAACATGCAAGGTAGAACCGCTGTGCAGGCGCACATGGGCAAGTGGGGGGCCTGCAGAGGCGGGATCTCAGGGTCCAGCGTGGCAGGGTCTTCCGGTGGCCACAGAGAGGGACAGTCTGAAGTCCCTGGGGCTGGAGATCTAAATGGAGAGACAGCGAAGCACGCTGGCAACTGGCTGGGGTGCAGGGAGAGGACCCCTGGCTTGCTGCGGGGGCCGGGGGAGAACACTTAGAGGAAGTGTTCATCCTGAAAACAACTGGAGTTGGCCAAGAGACAGAGGGGTGGAGGGCGGGGCGTGGGCCGGGCTGGGCTGAGCTGGATCGGGATGGACACCCTATAGGGTGAGAGTGTGGCCTGAGCCTCGCGGGGGAGGGACATTGTCAATCAACCCCAGAACTTTTCCCCTAAATGTCAGTGTGCTTAAAAATTAAATATGGGCCGAGCCGGCGCCGCGGCTCACTAGGCTAATCCTCCACCTAGCGGCGCCGGCACACCGGGTTCTAGTCCCGGTTGGGGCGCCGGATTCTGTCCCGGTTGCCCCTCTTCCAGGCCAGCTCTCTGCTGTGGCCAGGGAGTGCAGTGGAGGATGGCCCAGGTGCTTGGGCCCTGCACCCCATGGGAGACCAGGAAAAGCACCTGGCTCCTGGCTCCTGCCATCGGATCAGCGCGGTGTGCCGGCCGCAGCGCGCCGGCCGCGGCGGCCATTGGAGGGTGAACCAACGGCAAAGGAAGACCTTTCTCTCTGTCTCTCTCTCTCACTGTCCACTCTGCCTGTCAAAAAATAAAAAAAATAAAATAAAAAAAATAAAAAAAATAAATAAATATAGGCCAGTGCTGCGGCTCACTAGGCTAATCCTCCGCCTAGCGGCGCTGGCACACCGGCTTCTAGTCCCGGTCGGGGCGCCGGATTCTGTCCCGGTTGCCCCTCTTCCAGGCCAGCTCTCAGGGAGTGCAGTGGAGGATGGCCCAAGTGCTTGGGCCCTGCACCCCATGGGAGACCAGGAAAAGCACCTGTCTCCTGGCTCCTGCCATCGGATCAGCGCAGTGCTCCGGCCGCAGCGCGCCAGCCGCGGCAGCCATTGGAGGGTGAACCAACGGCAAAGGAAGACCTTTCTCTCTGTCTCTCTCTCTCTCACTATCCACTCTGCCTGTCAAAAAAAAAAATTAAATATAATTACATAAGTAATATGTTAATTATTTTTTTAAAAACTACATCATTGAAGCTAACAGAAAGGGTACTGCTCCCAATCTCAGCACCTGTGGGGGGGGGGGAATCCCTCCTGGGAACCTGCTGGGGACCAGCTGGGCACTTTAGAAGCAGCTCGCCACACGGATACACTGTAACAGATACACTGTCACAGAGTTGCTTCCACTCTCAGCATCCTCACCCCGGAGCTCGACTCAGCTTCCGGCTCCTTCCCCACACCTGTGTCCTCGCTGAGTCAGCAGGGCTCGAGCCGCCCGGGGTGACAATTGCCTGCTGCTAGGCACTCTGCCCATGTGCCTGGCTCCCTTGAGACTAATGTCCCAGCATAGGATCAGGCACTGCGTCAGGAACTGGGGTGACCCCACTGAAGGGGGGCCTCTAGCCAGAGGACATAATCTGTTATGTTTACGTGGAGAACAAAGGGTTTCAGTATCTCCCGTTCTCTGTGGCGCAGCTGCTGTGATTTCTAATGTCCCAACCAGAGAGGTTGGGACACTTGCCCTGGGCCACACAGCAGTTAGGAGCAGGAGTGGAATCGAACCCAGGTTAGCCTGGCAGCCAACCCAGCACCCTGTCTCCATCTCCAGTCCCTGCTGCGGAAGCTCTGCCCATGCCCCTTCCCGAAGCTCGGGAGCCTGGAGTGGACACGCGGGTTGAGCAGCCGGAGGCCCCAGACTCCACTCGGCAGAAGTCCTGGCTGGCGCTGTATCTGTCACTGCTACTGCGGCGGGACCGGCTGGCCCAGAAAGCCGGACAGCTCTTCTCGGGGCTCCTGGCCCTCAACGTGCTGTTCCTGGGCGGGGCCTTCATCTGCAGCATGATCTTCAACAGTGTGGCCGTCACGCTGGGCGACGTGTGGATCCTGCTGGCAGCCCTCAAGGCCCTCTCCCTGCTCTGGCTACTCTATTACACGGTGGGCACCACCCGCCGGCCTCACGCCGTGCTCTACCGGGACCCTCACGCTGGCCCCATCTGGGTACGGGGTGAGTGTTGGGGGCTGGGGGGATGGAGAAGGGCTGGGGAGGAGGAGACGGGGCCGGGGAGGCGCCAATGCCCGCCTGGCCCCGCCAGGCTCCCTGGTGCTGTTCGGCAGCTGTACCGTCTGCCTCAACGTCTTCCAAGTGGGCTACTACGTGAGCCACAGCCACTGCAAATCACAGCTGGAGGTCATCTTCCCCGTGATCGAGATCGTCTTCATGGGCATGCAGGTGACGGCCTCCCCGTGCCCCTGCCACCCACGCTGCGAGCACGCCCCACCCCAGCCCCCGGAGACCGCAGCGGGAGGGAATCCACACTGCCCAGGGTATAGACGTGCCCCGGTGCCTATGCAAATGTCCCGTTCCTCGTGCCCACACCCACATGGCCCCCCAGTGCTGGCAGCCACGCTCCGTGTGTCTCTGCGTAAGACGTAAGAATAGCTACCATTACCACGAGAGCCTTCAAAACGGTCACAAACAGTGTCATGAACAGTGCATATCACGAGGATACGATGCGTGGATTCTAAACGTCTCTGGCATCAACAAAGCAGCGGGCACTCGGATCCTGCCCAGAGCCCAGATGCCTCGCTGCAGGCTGCTCACGGCATAGCCGGGAGGTGTGAGGGCCGAGGCTCCCACGCTGCCTCCTGCGCTGGCCTCCCATTGTAAACGCTCGCGGGCAGCCGGGCACGCATCCACTCCCACCCGAGCCCCAACCCCGGGGCTTAAGGCGCCGTCTCTTTCAGACCTGGGTGCTCTGGAAACATTGCAAGGACTGTGTTCAGGTGCAGACCAACTTCACCAGGTAAGACGGCCCCCTCTGAGCCCCTCTGGGCCCTCCCAGGGCTCTCTGTCTCCCGTCCCTGGACACGGAGGTTTGGGATGGGTCCCCCAGAGACCCCAGGGCTGCCTCTCCTGGATCAGCCTCGGCCCTGGGAGTGGCCGCCCCCACAGCCGTCCACGGCGCCGACCGAGCAGCCGCAGAGCTGCGCCAGGTGTGTGAGTGGGTGTGGGCCTTCCCGCAGGTGTGGCCTGATGCTGACCCTGGCCACCAACCTGCTGCTGTGGATTCTGGCTGTGACCAACGACTCCATGCACCGCGAGATTGAGGCCGAGCTCAACGCCCTCATGGAAGAACACACAGGTACAGACGGGAGAGCAGACCTCCTCCCGAACACACCCTCACACACACACACACACACACACACATACACACACAGGTATACAGTCACCCACATAGACACACACTCACACACACTCACACTCACTCATACACACACACACAAGTATACACAGTCACCCACATAGACACACTCACACACACATACATACACACACACATAGACACACACATACACACACACACCAGTATACACAGTCACACATAGACACACACTCACACTCATACACACACATGCAAGTATACACAGTCACCCACATAGACACACACTCACACACACACATAGACACACACACACAGAGGTATACACAGTCACCCACATAGACACACACTCACACTCATACACACACACACAAGCATACACAGTCACCCACATAGACACACACATACACACACACATACATACACACACAGGTATACACAGTCACCCACATAGACACACACTCACACACATACATAGACACACACACAAGTATACACAGTCACACATAGACACACACTCACACACTCACACTCATACACACACAAATATACACAGTCACACACATAGACACACACTCACACACACTCATACACATACATACACACACATACATACACACACACATACATACACACACAAGTATACACAGTCACACACATAGACACACACACTCATACACACACACAAGTATACACAGTCACCCACATAGACACACACTCACACACATACATACACACACATAGACACATACATAGACACACACATACGTATACACAGTCACACACGTATGTACACACCCTCATACGCATACATAGACACACATATACACAGTCACATACATACACACACTCATACACATATCTGCACACATACATAGAGACACACACGTCCATACACATACATATGCACAATCATACACATGTATACATACATACATATGCACATTCACATACACACATATACACACACACACATAGACACACACATACATACATACGCACTCTCATACACATTCACATACACACATACATACATACACACACATATACACCCACACACATACATATGCACACTCACATACACACACATACACACTCACACACACAACGACACTCCCTCAGACACATGAGGCTCGGGGAGTCACAGAGTTGAGAGCAAACTCTGAGCCGGATTCTGGTTAAGAACTTGCAGTCGGTGGAGGCCCCTGTCCCGGGCCACCAGGCGCAGGCGCGCTGCACTAGTCCTGGCCCAGCCAGCCCCGATGAGCCGGGCAGGGACGCCCCTCGCCCGCGCTGCTTGCATTTTCCTTGCAAGAAGCTGAGAAACCTTCGGGGCTCACAGGAGTTTTCCCAGTGGGAGTTTCAGTGCCTAGACTGAGGGGTCCAGGCTTCTGGTGAGAACGGGCTCCCCACATTGCCTATGCCCAGCACCCCCCACACACACACAGCCCATAGGCGCAATGGGAATCCCGCTGCCCACACCCCTGCCCTGCCCTGCCCCCGGGGGTGGCGCCGACCTGACCTGCGTGCAGCCAGAGCCTCCCGGCACAGTCACGCACTCTCACACCCACAGCATAAATCACAGCCAGCGGCCGCTCTAGCGTTCATGCTCCGCCGACATTTCTCAGAAAAGCTGTGCAGAGAGAATTTTTGTCAAGTGACATCATGGATTTGTTTTTATTGGAGAGGAAGAGAAGGAGAGGAAGAGAGAGAGAGAGAGAGAGAGAGATCCTATTTATCCGCTGGTTCAAGCCAGGAGCTGGGAACGCAATCCCACGCGGGTAGCAGGAATCCAGCCACTTGAGCCCCCACCCGCTGCCTCCCAGAGTTTGCACGAGCAGGAAGCTGCGGTCCGGAGCCAGAGCTGGGCATGGGCCCAGGCGCTGATGTAGATGTGGGCACCCTGACCGTGTGTTAACCACTAGGCTGGACACCCGCCCCATCACACAGAGGCTTAGAGAAACATTCAAAGTGCACAGCTGAAGAGCAGGAAATGCGCATGATCTAACTGTGATAGTTATTAACATTTGCCACATTTTTGTGTTATTTTTTTCTGAAGTACTTAAATTACGGAAATGAAGGCAATTCACATCAAAACATTTTGGTATGCGTCTCTTTAAAAATAAGCCCATTGGGGCGGATATGGTGGTGCGGTGAGTTAAGCCGCCACTCGGAACTTCCACAACCCACAGCAGACAGAGTGCCTGGGTCAAGTCCTGGATCCGCTGAGCTTTGGACCCAGCTTCCTGCAGAGGCACCAGGGAGGCCGTGCTTGTTGGCTCAGCCTGGCCTACCCCTAGCTGCTTGGGAAGTGAACCAGCAGATGGGAGATCTCTCTCTCTCTCTCTGCCTGTGTCACTCTGCCTTTCAAATAAAAACAAATCATTTTCTTATGTTACCATGATGTTACCATAATTGCTAACACAATTCCTTAACACGACCCCGGCTTCTCTATCAGCCCATATCCCGCTCTGTCCAGCGTGCTGTAAAACAGCCATTCAGCCAGTTCAAACACGCTTTGCATTCGGTGGATCTCATGTGTCTCTTCCTAACGACACTGTGACGTGTCAGTTGTCTCTCAGCAGTGGTTTCTGTCCCCCACGCCCCCCCGTCCCCAGGAATTGGAAGTGTTGGGTCCAGGTTAGATTTGTGGCACTGGCACTTCCCAGGTGACACTGTGTGCTCTGAAGGCACCTGGTCGGAGGCGCTGCCATCCGATTGCTCCTACAGCTGCAGGTGCAGCAGCCACGTGCCCCTCCATCGTAACCCAGCTCTGCCCTGGTGCCAGCGGGCAGTTTGTGGAGGTGACATTTGGCACAAGGACGTCATGTATAAGGGCCTTATGTAAGCTGGGCACCCCAATTTTTTTGAAGACTTATTTATTTGAAAGGCAGAGTTGAGGGAGAGATTGATCTCCCATCTATTGGTTCACTCCCCAAATGGCCACAACAGCTAGGACTGGGCCAGGCCAAAGCAAGGAGCCAGGAGCTCCATCCGGGTCTCCCACGTGGGTGCAGGGGCCCAGGCACTTCGGCCGTCCTCCACTGCTCTCCCAGGCCATTAGCAGGGAGCTGGACAGGAAGTGGAGCAGCCGGGATTGAATGGGCGCTCAGCATTGCAGGCAGCAGCTTCACCCACTGAGCCACAGCACCGGGCCCCCACGGCTGAATGTTTGAGTCTCCGTAGCGGGATGATCTGTGTGATTCCCAGTCTCTATGGTTGGGCCTCGGTTTCCACAGCTGTAAAACGAGCAGCTGGCTGGGTCCTGCAGAGCAGGGCCCACGTGAGTGTCCGTCCCCTCCCCCACCCCGCCCTGCCCCTCCCAGGCAACCAGACGAGCGTCTGTCTCTGTGTGAACGCCACGGTGTGCGAGGTCTTCCGGAAGGGCTACCTGATGCTGTACCCCTTCGGCACCGAGTGCTGCCTCATCTGCTGTGCCGTGCTCTACGTCATGTGGAAGAACGTAGGCCGCCGCCTGGCGCCCCACCCCGGCGCCCACCCCGGCTCCCCGTCCTTCCGCCTGCACGGGGCCATCTTCGGGCCGCTGCTGGGCCTGCTGGCTCTGGTGGCGGGAGTAAGCATCTTCGTGGTCTTCCAGATCGAGGCCAGCGGCCCCGCCATGGCCCGCCAATACTTCACCCTCTATTACGCCTACTACGCGGCCGTGCTGCCCGCCATGAGCCTGGCGTGCCTGGCGGGCACGGCCATCCACGGGCTGGAGCAGCGGGAGCTGGACACGCTCAAGAACCCCACGCGCAGCCTGGACGTGGTGCTGCTGATGGGCGCCGCGCTGGGCCAGATGGGCATCTCCTACTTCTCCATTGTGGCCATCGTGGCCACGGACCCCCACCAGCTGCTCAACCGGCTCATCCTGGCCTACTCGCTGCTGCTCATCCTGCAGCACATCGCCCAGAACCTCTTCATCATCGAGGGCCTGCACCGGCGCCCCATCTGGGAGGCGGCTCCCACGGGCCTGGCTGCGAAGCAGGGGGCAGAGCCCCCCCGGAGGGGCTCCCTGCTGTCGCTGAGCCAGGACCTGCACCGGGCCTCGCTGGCCTACATCCACTCCTACAGCCACCTCAACTGGAAGCGGCGGGCGCTCAAAGAGATCTCCCTCTTTCTCATCCTGTGCAATATCACGGTGAGTGACTGGGGGACGCGTGTGCACTGGTGCTGGCCGGGGGCCTCCAGACCGCCTCGTGCAGGAAGGGCTGGATCAAGGTCACGTGCGGCTTTCTAGAGAGCGGGATGCTGCCTGAGAACAAGGAGTGTCCCCCGCACCCCCACCCAGCTCCCTGCAGGCTGCCTGGCGCGACTGTGCCAAGCACAAAGCCGAGGGGCCCCTTCCAGGCAAACCTAAACCAGGGAACCGGTTAGAGAAGGACCACTGAGTTTATCCTCAATGGAATTCAGCCAAAGGAAGAGACAGCAGGAATCCCTCGTGGAAGATGCTGGCAATGACGGAGGCTGCTAGGACCCGGGACCACCTCTCCAGGCGGCATTGCCACCCCTGGAGCCATCAGAGGGACCCGGGGCAGTGGGCACTGTCGCTGTCACTATTTGACAGCTGAGGACCCTGGGCTGAGGCTTGGGCTGCGTGACCTGCACAACGTCCCCTAGCCTGTGAGTGGCATTGCCGGGACAACTGAGGGCTTGTCGGAGGCCAAATCCCCAGCCCGCTGCAAACGCGGCTGACGGATGTAAGTGCCCCGGTCTAGCCAGAAAACAAGTCGCATTAGGAGCTCGGGGGAGGAAGTGTGGGCCGGAGGGGCCGAGGAAGGCTTCAGGGGCTTTGGTCTGGACCTTGAGGAAGGGGTAGACTTTGGACAGGGGCTAGGAGCTGGGGCGAGGAGGTTGCAATGCGCAGAGAGGGGCAGCCCAGTTTGCCAGCCCACTGTGCACACAGGGACTTCCTGCAGGCACTGTGTGGGGCAGCAGCCTGGGGTCTCAGGAGCCCATGCAGGTCAAGCTGGCTCCAGGCAAAGCCAGGAAGAGCCCTAGGTCTTCTGCGCTATGGGGCCAGGTGGGGGTGGGGAGAGGAGCTTGCTCTGAAACCGGGTGGGTGAGTAATGATGAGTGGGGGCGGCGCCAGAGGAAGCACAGGTCCTGGCCACCTGAGCTGAGGCCCTGGCTCGGTGGGGGGTGGGGGTGGGCTCCTCCCCCACTCACTCTCCGCCCCTCCCCACAGCTGTGGGTGATGCCGGCATTTGGTGTCCACCCCGAGTTCGAGAATGGGCTGGAAAAAGATTTCTATGGCTACCGGACCTGGTTCACCATCGTCAACTTGGGCCTGCCCCTGGGGGTCTTCTACCGGATGCACTCTGTGGGGGGGCTGGTGGAGGTCTACCTGGGAGCCTGAGGCAGCAGAACCCCGAGGTGTCAAGGCCGGCAGGGGCTCGGTGCTGGGGGAGGCAGCACAGGCGCTCCATTCCAACGGCTGCCGAGACCAGCCCGGGGCTCCAGCGCCTCCTCCCACTCCCCCGAGGGGCGGGCACTGCCTACAGCCCCGTCTGGGGACTGGACGCAGGATCTGATGCCCACGTGCAGGCCTGGCCCCTGCCTTATCCACCAGGGGAACACCCCAGGAGGCTAGCAGCATCCCTGCCCCAGCTGCCCTCTTAGGGCACCAGGAGCAAATGCCTGAGACTGGGGAGTTTGGAGAGGGGCGCTTCTCCCTGCCAGCTGGACTCAGGGGTCGGCCTCTGGCAGGCAGCTCCTCCCAGCTCAGTTCAGCAGGCAGCCCTGCCCCCCCACACACACCTGTCTCCTAACGACCTCATTAATTAGCTGCCAGGCAGGGTTCAACAGCTCTCCCCTGCTGCCATAAACCCTGTTTGTTTGATCAATTACATTCAGGCTTCCTGTTTGTTCCCAGGGACAGAACTGCCACTCCAAGCCTGGTGGGAAGGAGAAGTCCCCCTGGGCAGGGCTGTGGGGCTGGGACAGCCGTGGTCCTCCGCCAGGAGAGGTCTACCCCAGCCCTGTCCTTGCCCAGTGCATGGGAGGAAGTGGGAGAGATGGGGCTTGGCTGTCCCCCACCCGACCTACGCTGGCCCCCTCTCCCTAGGACAGAGCCCCATGAACATCTGCAGCTGGCTCCCTATGGGGCCTGGGGCCTCTGGCTGACTGGTCCCCAGCTGGCCTGATCCTTGGAGCTGGGGGGGGGGCAGGAAGGGGAGCGGGAGGCGACACAGTGACAGCCCATCCTTTTCCCTGAGCCTGGTGCAAACAGCCGGCTCTGGCCGCCCTGGCCCTACAGGTGAGGGCCTGCCCGCCCCCGGGCCCTCGCCCAGGAAGCGAGGCACTGGCAGGCACAGGGACACTCCCCAGGGTCCCCCACACTGCTCGGTGGCTGCCGCAGACAGCAGAGACCCTGGGGGCCATGCAGGGGGCTGAGGCCCCTCAGTCTCTCCTGAGTGGGCCTTTCTCTAAGTGCCCACAGCCCAGAGGCCCAAACCCTAGGTGAGGAGCCCCACTGCTCTCCCACCCTAGAAAATGACCAGTGCTGGCCCGACCTTGCACTGGGTGCCCTGGGGGGCCTGGCTGTGGGGTGCTCTCCCCATGCAGCATGGAGACAGTGTGGAGAGGGAGGTTTTATTGTTAAAGGGACCGATTGTACGGAGCAAAGATTGCACTGACACGGGGTGGAGGGGGCCCTTGAGGCCGGAGCCAGGGAGCGCAGAGGGTGCCCGGCCCCCCAGCGAGGCAGGGAGCAGCCATGGCCAACTGGACAGCTGTTCCTGGACCCAGTTCCCTGGATAAGGAGCCAGGCTACACCCACGGACCCAGGAGAAAACAGAGAGACCCTCCATGCCACCCTCCAAGCCCCTCCATCACACGGAGTCTCCCCGGGTCCCCAGTGAGCAGCCCAGCCACACTCGGTTCTCCACCTGCTGGGTGCGGGCAGACAGCAGGCCTGGCACGGGCAGCTTCAGACTGGGAAGTGCCCCTCACCTGCCTGGGTCCCGTCATGCGAGCCCCACTAGGGCACAGTGGCTTCTGGAGTGGGCAGCACAGGGGCACAGACATAGGTCTTGAGAGGGGACCCTTGGGTGGGTCCTATAGCCCTGGAGACGGGAGTCCTGGGAGTCGATGTGGGGAAGGGGCCGGAAGCCGGTCGCCACAGTCCCCAGCCCCCAGGGCGCCTCGAGGCCGATTCAGCCCCTCTGCCCGCAGCCTGTCCTGATGGTGGCCATCCAAACCCCAGAACGGCACTCTTGGGGAGCATCGGGGACCAGGGCACCCACCCGGCCACCCCCGGCCCAGCCCCTGCAGACTCTGTCCTCACACCCGCTGGATCTCAAACAGCTTCACGTCGGTGTCATACCAGACTGGGGGGTCCACGTTCCTGCGGAGGGCGTGGGTGTCACCAGGTGCCGGGGCAGGGGGAGGAGCCAGCCGACCGCAAAGCCCCCCCTCGCCGGCCCAGACCTCGCTGATCATCTCAACAGGAATCCCAGGGCCCCAGCCAGCGGGACGGGGCAAGCCCTCGGGTAGAGCCCAACCTCCCTCCCCCACCACTGCCACCGGGATGGCAGCCGGCCTGCGCTGCGGGGCCCACCTCAGGTAGATGACACCCCACATGTAGGTGCGGAACCACATGGCGGTGCCCGAGTTGGCCTGGTACTTGCGGATGAGGATGGGGTGGGGCACGGGCAGCAGCCCCACCAGGGTGCCGTGTTGCAGGAACCGCAGGATCTCGGATTCGTCCGTCAGGCCCCTGCAGGCGCGAGGCACACTCCAGCATGCTCACCGGGGGGCCGCGATCCCCTTCCGCGGCCACCCCGCCCGCCGCGGCCCTGCGGCTCACTTGTCTATGCAGATCTTCTCCACCTGGGGCACCAGCACCTGCAGCAGCCTCATGATGGTCTGCAGCGGCAGCTTGGACTTCCAGGACAGCACCTGTGGGGGCCGAGGCTGCTGGGGCCGCGGGAGCCGTCCCCCGGGAACTCGGGACAGGCCACAGGCGCCCCGAGGCCGCACGCGTGTCCAGGCAGGCCCTGGAGCTGGGGGCCGGCGGCCAGCAGGCCCGTGCACAGTGACTGTTTGGAATGGGGAGGGCAGCAGCCCCGCCTAGGCCCTTGTCCCCGTCCAGCCTCCCTCCAGCAGAGTCGGCCCAGGCAGTACGCTGGGCGTGGGAGCCACTCGGCAGGCTGATGGGTGCAGGAAGCCAGCACCGTGGGCCCCTGGGACTTAGTGCAGCCGGGGATCCCTGGCACACAGTGGGGAGGTTAACGTGTGCGGCCCCAGGCCCTCTGACTTGGACACATTCCCACCCCCCTGACCCAGCCCCGCCTCCATGCCGTCTGCCCAGTCCCCGACCCCCGGCTCCTCCAGGGTGGGGTCCTCACCCACTCTGGCGTCGGGCTCCACTGATCACTGGCTGACACGCTAGACGGTCGCCGCTGCTCCCTCCAGGCCTGGCCGGGCTCCTGGAACCCAGAGAGGGAGAGGAGGGGAAGGGGGTCAGGGTGGGGGTGGGTGGCGCGGGCTCTCCACTGACCTCCACTGCAGGGGTGAGGGGGCAAGGGCCCAGCCCAGCACACTTTGCCCCAGGCTCTGGGTCCAGCCCAGCCCAGCCCAGCCGGGTGACAGGTTTAGGGCCAGGGGCTGACAGGGCAGCCGGGTAAAGGCCGGCGCCAGATAAGGCTAATGATGGATGGAGAGGCTGAAGGCCAAGGTCTTGCCACGCTGATAAACAAGGGAGGCGCCCGTGAGGGCCCCTCTGGGACAGCGGTCAGTGCGGCTGGGTGCCCTGGCCCAGCCCACGCCGCAGGGGCCAAGGAGGAAGGGGCTGCCCCGGGTGTCCCCGTCACCCACCCCCTCGCCGGGGCTGCCATCCACGGCGCTGGGCTGGGGCTCAGGCTCCAGGGACCGCAGTGTGCCATCCTCTGACACCTGCGACTTCTCCGTCAGCTTGTCGATGCCTGGGGTGGGGGGAGGGGGCACAGGCTGAGTGAGGACCCCCACCGCCTGCCCCCTCTGACCTGGCTCCTTCCGCCATCTCCCAGAAGCGTCCCCACCTCTCCCAAGCCCTTCCCAGTCAGTCCCTCCTTCCCTCCCCTCCCCTCTTCCCAGCCAGTCTGCGCCCTTTGCCAGGGATGGGGGCTGCGCGGGCCCATGCCCGGCCCCCAGCCGTGCCACAGCCTACAGCTCCCTTCCCGCCCGCCAGAGCCCGACCTGGGGTGGCCACCAGGCTGGCCTTGAGAGTGCCTGGCTCCGCGGGGGCCGCGGGCCGGGAGCCCTCCATGGAGGCGCCCTCCTGCGAGCCGGCGCGGGACAAGGGCTCTGGCGGGCGCCGGCGCCGCTGCAGGGCCTTGTGGATGGCGGGCAGGTCGGTGGGCAGGTTGGCCAGCTGGTGGAAGACGCTGCGCTTGCGGATGATGGCGTAGACCAGGTTGGAGTTGCCTGTGGGGGAGCACGCCTGGCCTCAGAGGGCCTGCACCCTCACACGTGTGCACACACCTGCACACACGTGTGCACTCACACACAATCTGGGCAGGCTTCCTGGAGGTCAGGAGTAGGAGCTGGGACAGGGAACCCAAGAGCGTGGGCCAGGGCAGGCTGGTGGCGCTGTGTGTGCCAGCTGTGGCTATGGGACACCCTCCGGCTGGAGTTCCCCACACACCCCTCCCAGTTGCTAGGAGACCCTCACAACCCAGCTCCCCAGAGAGAACACCTGGCAAAGTGGGGCTGACCCGACATCACTGTCCACACACAGCCAAGGAGGAGGCCAGCTTGTGTCTGTCCCCTGTTCCCCCCCACGGGGCTCCACAGCTCCAGAGGAAGACACAAAGCACTTCCGGGGCCTCCCATGCCCCCAGCACCTCTCTGGTCCTGCCTCAGACCACACTGTTCTGCTCTCAGCTCAACACCCCACCCCAGGGCCTTTGCACACGCCATCCCTCACCTCTATAATGCTACCCCATCCCTCGGATCAGGGCAAATTTTTATTTTTACTTCGGAACTTGCTAAGCATTAAGATACCAGGTACTGTGCTAAATGTTCCCTGGATATCTGGGTTCGGCCTCTTAACTCCCTCTGAGGTTGAGACTTTCAGTCGCACGGTCATGGCCGCCCTAGAGATGAGGAAGGAAGCTGGCTGCAGAGAGGTTAAGCGATGCGCCCATGGCACAGAGGAAATGAGCAGCAAGACCCAGCTCTGCACCCAGCACTGGGGCGTCTGTGACACCGCGCACCACCGCTGCTGTGACTCCCAGCAGGCTCTGTCCGCCCCGCAGTCCCTGCTCATCGGGGTCAGGGTGACCGGCTTGAACGCCTCCCCCTCCCTGAGGTCCAGGTGCAGGAACCATTTGTTCCTGCTGTATTCCCTGCATCCAGGTATACTACAGGTGCTCAATAAATGCACACTGAATGAACGAACTAGGAGGCAGATGGCTCAGAGGCCAGGTCCGGTCGGCGCCCCACTCAGGTGGGAGCCCCCTGGTCCACACCCGAGGCAGGGCAGGGTGCGCCGCGCTCAGGTGGGAGCCCCTGGTCCACACCCAAGGCCAGGTCTGGTCGGCGCCCCACTCAGGTGGGAGCCCCCTGGTCCACACCCGAGGCCAGGTCCGGTGGGTATCCTGCTCAGGTGGGAGCCCCCGGTCCACACCCGAGGCAGGGCAGGGTGCGCCCCGCTCAGGTGGGAGGCCCCTGGTCTACACCTGAGGCAGGGCAGGGTGCGCAGCGCTCAGGTGGGAGCCCCCGGTCCACACCCGAGGCAGGGCAGGGTGCGCCGCGCTCAGGTGGGAGCCCCCGGTCCACACCCGAGGCAGGGCAGGGTGCGCCCCGCTCAGGTGGGAGGCCCCTGGTCCACACCCGAGGCAGGGCAGGGTGCGCCCCGCTCAGGTGGGAGGCCCCTGGTCTACACCTGAGGCAGGGCAGGGTGCGCTGCGCTCAGGTGGGAGCCCCCGGTCCACACCCGAGGCAGGGCAGGGTGCGCCGCGCTCAGGTGGGAGCCCCCGGTCCACACCCAAGGCAGGGCAGGGTCCACACCCGAGGCAGGGCAGGGTGCACACCCGAGGCAGGGCAGGGTCTACACCCGAGGCAGGGCAGGGTCTACACCCGGGGCCAGGTCCGGTGGGCATCCCGCTCACCATCAAACTGGTACTGGATGATGTTGTTGAAGACCTCCAGCAGGAAGAAGACCAGGTGGTGGTTCTGGGCGGCGGAGAAGAGGAACCAGGTGGTGGAGAAGGCCTCCAGCAGGTGCAGCAGCTTGTTGGCAGTCACCATGGACAGGCTCTTGAGGTAGGGCGACACTGCAGGGGAGGGGCCGGCTCACGCCTGGGCCACCCCCGCCCCCCCAGCCAGCGCCTGCCTGCGGAGCCCCTGCGGAGCCTGGAAGGCCAAGTGCACACGGGAGCCCTCGGAGGCAGCTGCGCTGTGGACCAAGCCACGGCCTCTCCTCCCTCTCCCGGTCCCCCCAGCCCAGGAGGGAAAAAGGACGATTTCCACTCCACAGATGGGGAGCCGAGGCTCGGGAAAGAGTCTAAACCTGGCCAAAGCTCCCCGGGCACAAAGCGATGGGGGCGACACAAACTCAGGCCCTACAGGTTCTTCTAGAAGGTTCCCTGTCATTGGATGCGTTTATGTCTTCAGGGTGTGTCTGTATGTGTGTGTGTGTCTGTGCACACACGTGGCTTTCTGCACAGCTTTGTGGGGTGCGGAGAGATGAAATGGCACACAGCTGTGCGCCTTCCTCCCACGTTCTCAGAGCCGGGAACACCGAGCAGGTGCCCAGTTGAGATTGAAGAGAGGAAGCCAGTGAGTGAACAGGGCAGACGGGCAGCGTCCCACCCAGACCACAGACAAGCCGGCAGCGTGGAAGCCAGGAGCCGTCTCCCTGGTCGGGTTTATATCGACCACCGGTTCAGACGACAGGATAGGAGGGTAAACTGGACCGTGTTTGTCACCTTCCCATCATGATCATTTTTAACCCGGCCACTGGTGGCGTGCGCCAAGGGGACCTCGAAAACGTGGAAAAATGTGATCAAGACAACATTTTGGTGGTGGTGCAGGAATTTGAAACCTGTGCGTAGCTTTTTCGTAATATGCGTTTCCCATGGACTTTTGGTTTTTTTGACAGGCAGAGTGGACAGTGAGAGAGAGAGAAAGAGAGAAAGGTCTTCCTTTGCCGTTGGTTCACCCCCCAATAGCCACTGTGGCTGGCGCGCCGCGCAGATCTGAAGCCAGGAGCCAGGTGCTTCTCCTGGTCTCCCATGGGGTGCAGGGCCCAAGCACTTGGGCCATCCTCCACTGCCCTCTCAGGCCACAGCAGAGAGCTGGACTGGAAGAGGAGCAACCGGGACAGAATCCGGTGCCCCGACCGGGACTAGAACCCGGGGTACCAGGACTAGAACCCGGGGTGCCGGCGCCACAGGCGGAGGATTAGCCCAGTGAGCCGCGGCGCCGGCCTCCCATGGACTTTTTATGTGGGGAGCAATCCGGACTAGACTAAGTTACTCGAATTAGGACTTATTCTATGCATCTGCTCTCCCACAATATGGCGCTGGGAGAGAAGTAAACAGCTTCCGCACAGCTGCCTCCAGTTCAACCAATAAACTGTAGGACTTGCTCCTGATTGGAGAGCAGCGTACTCGGCGTGTGGGCAGCCGAGTTAGGATTGGCGGAGGAGGACTATAAAGGAGGAGAGAGACGGCATGCACCGGGAACATCTATGGGGAACATCTAGCTGAAGGAACACCCGTGCAGCCCCCGAGAGACCCGGCCGGCGGTGTGCCGCTCCCCTGCGGAAGTGGGGAATGCGGCCAGGGGGAACTGCCCTTCCACGGAGGTGGAAGGGATAGTAGCCAACCCGGGAAGAACCAGCAGCAAACCCGGGGAGGCCGAGCAGACAAAAGAACAGCGCAGGGTCCTGTGTCGTTCCTCCACGAAGAGGGGGAGCGACATTTTTAGATGGATTTTCCATTTTGTCTTGCACCATAATCTGCTTATCTTTCAATTTCATTTGTTGAAGTCCCCGCCCCTCCTGTTTCCAGGACCTGGGCTTGAACCAGAGCCCGGGGCCGGGCTGCCTGTAGCCTGGCGCCCTCTGGTGGTGGGCACGGGGAAAGCCGGCGCCTTGGGGCCCCTACCGTTGACCACGATGGTGAGCAGGCAGTCGAAGAGGGGCTGCAGCCGCTGGTGGCCGCTGGTGATGATCTTGTGGAACACCTGTGCGGGGAGGGAGAGGGGCAGCCGTGGGGCCCCTGTGGCCCTCAGACACCCCCACCGCCCGGGGCTGGCCCAGCGACTCCTCACCACGATGAGCAGGTCGGCGTGCGTGCCCGTGAAGACGGGGATGTCCATGGGCACGCGCCCCGAGTAGGGCTTGTTCAGCCGCACCCCGAAGTTCCGCTCCCCGCTCAGCAGCAGCAGGATGAAGACCCCGATGTGCATGAGGCCCACGCGAGCTGCGGCACAGGCGGGGTCACCGGGGGAGGACACGGGGGGGGGGCCCCGCCGGTCAGAGCACCCCCACCCCACGCCCCGCCTTACACTGGTCCGCCCGGGCGTCGTTGAGGAAGTAGAGGACGGGGACCAGCACGTCCAGGACGTCGCTGCTCTTCAGTACGAAGAAGAGGAATTTCTGGGGGGTGGGGGGCGGAGTCAGGGAGGGCAGCTGCCCCGCCTCCACCCACCCCACCCTGTCTGCATCACGGCTACCTGGGGCGGTCCCTGCCACGGCCCCGCCCCCAGCCCGGACCACCCGGGAGCCCCCCAAGCGCCCCCCCCTGTCCTCGCCCCCCCCAGCCTGGACCACCGGGATCCCCCCAAGCGCCCCCCCCCACCATCGCCCCCCCCCCCGAGTCTGGACCACCTGGGCAGCCCCTGCCATCCCCCCCCCGCTCCTCCCCCCACCATCGCCCCCCCCAGCCTGGACCACCCGGGAGCCCCCCAAGCGCCCCCCCACCATCGCCCCCCCCCAGTCTGGACCACCTGGGTAGCCCCTGCCATCCCCCCTCCCCCGCCATCGTCCCCCCCAGCCTGGACCACCTGGGCGGCCCCTGCCATACCACCCCGCCCTCCACCACCATCGCCCCCCCAAGCCTGGACCACCCGGGAGCCCCCCAAGCGCCCCCCCCGTCCTCGCCCCCCCCAGCCTGGACCACCGGGATCCCCCCAAGCGCCCCCCCCACCATCGCCCCCCCCCCGAGTCTGGACCACCTGGGCAGCCCCTGCCATCCCCCCCCCGCTCCTCCCCCCACCATCGCCCCCCCAGCCTGGACCACCCGGGAGCCCCCCAAGCACCCCCCCACCATCGCCCCCCCCAGCCTGGACCACCCGGGCGGCCCCTGCCACCCCCCCCCCGCCCCCCCCCCCCGCCATCGCCCCCCCACCTTGTTGAAGTCACAGAGCTTCCAGAAGAGGACCAGCAGCTCCTGGTGGAACTGGATCTTCTTGGTGGAGTTGGGCAGGTAGGTCTGCAGCAGGGGGTTGGACAGCAGCCGGGCTATGCCCCTGAGGATGAACTGCAAGTCCTGAGAGGGGGAGAGCAGGGCACCTGTCCAGGCCGGCCCCTCGCAGGTCTCCCCCTCCCCCGCTGGCGCCTGAGCCACATCGGCAGTGGCTGTGCACCGGGATGCCAAGTCCAGGGCGGGTCTGGAGAGCCCCCCCCCAGCCCCAGGGCCTCCAGCCTCAGACCACAGACTCCCCTGGGGCTGCCCCACCCTGAACCCCGCCCTGCCCACCTGGACTCTCTTTGGAGAGCTCCTGCCCTCCGCCTCCCCTACCCCCCATCACCCGTGAGGAGCAGCCTCCTGGGCTCCAAGCCCTGGTGTCCACTGAGCGCCCCCTGGGCTGGGCCCTGCTCTGCCTTAACCCCCACAAGGTGGGGGCAGCTGGGCAGGTTAGAGGTCTGGGGGCTCCGCACCTGTCCCCCGCCCCAAGACACAGGAACTGGGAGCTACCTGCACTGTCACCTCCCCCCACCACCACCTCCAAGACGGATGGAAGAGGAGCTGCCTCCTCCAGGAAGCACTCCAGGCTACCCCTGAAGCTGTCAGCACTTTCTCCGTTTGAACCACATCTCCCAGTCCTGCCACGGCCACAGAGACCACAGCTCCCTCACGCAGGGGCCAGGGGTCCCCCACCCCCACTCCTGTCTCACTGGCATCCCCAGGGCCCTGTGGGGGTGCTGCGCTCACCTCCTCACGGTGGATGCGGGACAGGTAGTTCACAAACAGGTTCTCAGGCCCTGGGGGCTGCCAAGGGTGGAGGCTGCTGGTGAGCAAGTGCCCGCACCCCTCCCCCACCCCACCGTGGCTGCAGCCGCGCCCCTCCCAAGGGTAGAGGAGCCCCATGGGTGTCGCCGGCTGCCCCCTCTGCCCGTCCTTACGTCAGCATCATCCATGGCGGTGCCCGTGGTGGTGCCGTCCACGGTGGGGCTGGCACTCGTGGCGCTGTCGTGGTCCAGGGTGACGATGAGCACCTGGGCGGCCTCCTCCACCAGGGGCTCCCGGTAGTCGGAGAAGAGCAGGTGGTTGTAGGGGATCCCGTAGCCCACAGGGTCATAGGCACACACGGTGTTGAGCAGGGAGGTGAAGAGGGGCAGGGCGTGTCTGCAGGGAGAGGAGCAGCGGGCTGCAGGGAAGGGATGAAGGCCCCGCCCATGCCACAAGGCCCCGCCCACACCACACAGGCCCCACCCATGCCGCCCAGGCCCACGGCCCCAGAGCTGGGGAGCAGAGCCATGAGCCTGTCCCTTCCTGAGTGGGACAGACCCTGGCTCATCCACGCCTGTTTCCAGCTTGGATCTGGGCCAAGGGAAGAACGGATTCATGGACAGACACAGGATGGTCCATTGTGCAGGGCTCTGTAGGAAACCAGGTCCCAGGCCGCTCTCCTGGGGCTGCACAGCACGGGGCTGGAGACCAGGAGAAGGCGGGCTCGCCCCTGGGGGCGGGGCCTGGGCTCAGTCACCACCACTGCCCGCGCCCGCTGCAGGACTCAGCTCAGGTTTGTGGGACATCGGGGTTCAGGCCGCTCATCGTACGGATGAGGAAGGAGGAACGTGAATTCTACATTGATCGCATGCTAAGTGCTGATATTTGGGGTAGATGAAATACATTAGTAACATTAACTTTACCTGTTTCTCAGTTTTTTGAACGTGAAATTTCACATGTAGTCTGCCACATATTTCTACGGTTTAACGCAGCTCTAGAGGGAGGACCCAGGCATGGGGCACCCCGGGGCCCCCAGGTTCTGGCCAGGGGACTCCAAGGAGAGTGACGGCACAGGATTAGGTGTGTCTGGCATGTTACAGGCCGTCACCACCAGGGGGCAGCACCTCCCCTCAGATGAGACTTGCAGGGTGGGCGCCGGTTCTCCGCTGAGTTGGGGGGAACAGAAAGAATGGGAAGAAAAGACGGGGGCCTCTCACCTGTTCTCCGTGGAACAAAAGAACTGAACCCATGGGTTGGTGCTGCCGCTCTCCGGAGCTGGGGGCAGGTACATGGCCTCGGAGAAGCAGGTCAGCAACAGTTTCAACAGCTCCATCCTTAGGGGGGAGGGGGTCTTAGGATCCCAACCCTCCGGGAGGGCCCTGCCCACCAGGCATCCCAGCCAGCCCCACGGGAAGCAATGGTCACTGTTTATCCCGTAATGCTGAGGTTGGATCACAAAGGAGGGGTTTCCTTGGAAGACCCATGGGGGTCTCTGAGCTGTGCAGGGGCCCGGCCTGGGGCCCAGCTCACCGGTTCATGTCGTGGATGTAGTTGGGCTGTGGGGAATGAGCGAAGCCCACGCCAGCCTCCCAGATGTATTCACAGCTGTCCAGAGAGTGGACATCCTCTGCGGAGTCCTGGGGGCGGGGACAGGGAGAGCTGAGTGGCGTGGATAGAGCCCCGCCAGTCCCGGGGGCAGGGACCCCCGCCTTCTAAGCACAGACCCCAAAACACCCCAGGTCCTGGATGCCCAGGGAACCACGAATGTTCTCAGACCTCCCGAAGGTTCCTAGCTCTGTCTGCATCTCGCTCAACCCGGTTTCAGACGAGGAGGGAGGGGCAGCAGGGGACCGGATGGGCGTGGTGGCACAGACCACTCAGGGTCCAGTCCCGGGCACCGCAGGAAGTAGGAGGGCCGGGCCTCTGTCTCAGCCCCGCACCCCCACCCGCCACAGGAGGCGAAAACAATGGGTGTTTGTGCCCAGGCACCAGAGGCCACGGGCAGGGCCGGGCACCAGCTGGCCCCTCTCCAGCAGTGCCAGCCACCCCCCAGCCCGGGGCAGTGTGTGCCAGGCAGGCCAGCCCTCCCCGGCCCCCGCCACACCCTGCCCGAGGGAATGTGGACCCGCTGGGCCCCGGGGAGGGGGGTCTCACCACAGTGCTCCTACGGTGGCTCTGCACCGTGAAGTCCGGGCAGAAAAGCAGGTCGGCGATGGCCAGGAGCAGGGACTCAGCCAGGGGCCTGGCGTTCTCGTCCTCCTCCTCACCCTGCTGGGGACACAGCTGCCGTCTCAGTGGTGGCCGGCCAAGGAGAGGTGGCCCCGAGACTGGGGGAGGGGGAGGCAGTGGATTCCTGGTGGCCCCAACTCCCCAGGGCAGGTGGGGGCATAGCTGGGAGTGGGGCCGGGACCAGCAAGGTCCCCCCAACTGGGTCACACCCCCAGGTCCTTCCTGGGGATAAACCCAGGCAGTGAACCCGGGAGAGAGAACACAGCCCACCTCCCCAACCTGGGCGGAGACCCCCAGGGAGAGGAAGTGCTGAGCCCCACCCGCCGCACCCCTGCACTTCCAAATCCCAGAAGATGCTGGGGCAGGCGGCAGGCCCCACCCACTCCGCCTCCCGCCAGATTCCTCCCCACCCCCGGCCAGGCTACCGACCCCTCCGCGCCCCGCCCCGGGCACTGTGGACCAGAAGAAGCCCCTCCAGTCGGGGTCCTCGAAGACGTAGGGCAGCACGCGGGTGAGCAGCCGGCTGCAGTTAAGCACAACCTGTCTCTCCTTCTCTGAGTGGCAGCCGCTCTCGGCCCCCTGCACCAGCTTCTCCACGGCCTGTCGGGACGGCAGGGGCAAAGGGGCACGCTGGACCGGGGGGCCGGGCGGGCACGCAGGCTGCAGGCAGAGGTCACACCCAGCAGAGAACCAAGACCAGGGCAAGCCAGCGCCCAGCTCGGACCCTGCACTTGACGGCACCTGTGTGGGCCTCTGTCTTCCCATTTGAAAAATGGTGCTGACCTCAACGAGTTGATCCACGGCCTGACCGGGAGGAGGTTTCAGAAATGGCACTGGCTGGGATCATTCCCTCCCCACCCCACCCCCCACCCCAGGAGAGAACGACTGGGGGTGGGGTGCTGGGTGGAGCCTGGGGACCACTGTGGGGGGGGTTCCTGATGTTGGTCCTCTCCCACGGGGCCGTCGTCAGCACTGTGGGGAGGTTGGGGCGGCAGCAAGGGCGCGGACGGCCCTTACCTTGTAGCACAGAGTGGCCAGGTTGGAGGGCGACTCCTCCCGCACGGCCCGGATCTCAGCCGCCGGCACCAACGCAAAGACATCCTGCACGGAGGTGGCCGTGTCTGCCCAGAACTGGTCCCAGAAGGCGTCGTCGGTGGCTTCCACAGGCTGCGGGGGGACCCAGATCCAGAGTCATGTGATCCTTTGCCAGTGGCCCCGCAGTTCACCCAACATGTGGTCCGCAGAGACCCCAAGAGGGAAGCCATGGGCCCCTCCTCCACGCCAGCTCTGTGCAAGATGCCGCTGCCACGGGGTGGGGTGTCCTCAGCCACCAGCAGCCTTGGCCAGCACTCAGGCAGGGGACATTCTGTGTGCGTGGTCGGGGCCGGTCCCAGAGGGCCTGCGTGGCTCTGGCAAAGTCCCCGGCCTCTGGCACCGCTAGCTGTGGACTCGTCCCAGGACACGTCTCCAGGCCACACTGCGAGGTCAAGTGTCCAGGAACCCAGCCCAAGGCGGCACCCTGGCCCCGGTGGAAGACACCACAGGGACGTGTGCTGCATTTCCAGCCTCGGTCGGCCCGCCAGCCGCCCAGTCTGGTGGATTCTCCCGCGCCCACGCGCTCCTGTCCCCACGGCCCCGCGCTGCAGTTCAAGGCTCCTGCCGCTGTGCGGCGCCAACCCGGCACCCGAGCACAGCAGCAAAGGCACTGCCCTTCACGCAAAGGCCTGTAGGGGGCTCCCTACCTCCTGCTGGGTCAAGTCCAAACCTCAGGCCAACAGACTTGAATCCAGCACACCTTGCACACACACACCTGCGCTTTCTAGCTCCAAGGCGAGACCTGCTACCTCTTCTCTTTGCCCCTCCCCCCAGCCCGGCCCCCTTCCAATGACACATTTCAAGATCCCACAGGTGCTCAGAGGAAGCGTGTCTGAAATCACGCGTGCAGAGGGCCACGCGGTCCACCAAGGCACCGCGTGTGCACTGTAGAAGGACTTCCAGAACTCTCTCCCGAGGCGCGTGCATGAGGCTCATTGCTGATCAAAACAGAAATCTGAAATCAGAGTTTCCAACAACCGGCGAAAGCGTATGCAATGGAATATTATGCAGCCGTCAAAACCACGTTTCAAAGAATACTAACAAATGGAAAAGGCTCGTGGTGCAACCTTCTATGAAAAAAGAATAAGACAAAGCAGAAAACCACCTATGGGATGAGCAGTTTTTGTTACAATTATAACTTTTTTTTTTGTTTGGACAGGCAGAGTGGACAGTGAGAGAGAGAGACAGAGAGAAAGGTCTTCCTTTGCCGTTGGTTCACCCTCCAATGGCTGCCACAGCCGGTGCACTGTGGCCAGCGCACCTCGCTGATCCGATGGCAGGAGCCAGGTGCTTCTCCTGGTCTCCCATGGGGTGCAGGGCCCAAGGACTTGGGCCATCCTCCACTGCACTCCCGGGCCACAGCAGAGAGCTGGCCTGGAAGAGGGGCAACCGGGACAGAATCCGGCGCCCCGACCGGGACTAGAACCCGGTGTGCCGGCGCCCCAAGGCGGAGGATTAGCCTAGTGAGCCGCGGCGCCGGCTACAATTATAACTTAAAGTCCAGATGAAATGAACCAAATGTTAACAGCAACAATCTCTCTGGGTGATGTTTGTATTTTTCTGTGGGCACATATTGCTACTTTTTTCCTTGTGAGTGTTCATCTATTGAGGGGCTGAGGAATCAGGCACACAGGCCCTCCCGCAGGCCCGTCCCTTTGAGTCTCCTTTGAATGTCACCTCCTACAAGGAGCCCTCCCGGATTGCCCCATTCAACACAGCCTTCTCCCTCCTCCGAACTCCTGGAGCTATGAGGGTCCTGCTCCCCCACATGTACACTTCAAAGGCATCACCCATGTCCTCTGTCTGTCCATACACACGCTCTGTTTAAAGACAATTTTTTAAAAAAGATGCATTCATTTATTTATTTGGGAAGTAGAGTTACAGAGAGGCAGAGAGAGAAAGACCCTTCACCCACTGGTTCACTCCCCAAATGGCTGCAATGACTGGAGCTGGGCCAATCCAAAGCGAGGAGCCAGGAGCTTCCTCTGGGTCCCCCACGCGGGTGCAGGCGCCCAAGCACCTGGACCATCCTCTACTGCTTTCCCAGGCCACAGTGGAGAGCTGGATCAGAAGTGGAGCAGCCGGGACTCGAACTGGTGCTCACATGGGATGCCATCACAGCACCAGCTGCTAAAAACAAGTCTTAAGAAATTCTATTAGAGACAGCACATAGCAGGTTAGGCCACCACCTGCGACACTGGCATCTCCTACCAGAGCACCAGTTTGAGGCCTTGGGTGCTCTGAGGCCCTGCTGCTCCGCTTCCGATCCAGCTCTCTGCTGTGGCCTGGGGAAGCAGCAGAAGACGGGCCAAGTCCTTGGGCCCCTGCACCCACAGGGGAGACCCAGATGGAATATTCCAGGCTCCTGGCCTGGCCCAGCCCTGGCCATTGCAGCCACTTGGGGAATAAACTGGTGGATGAGAAATCTCGTTCTCTCTCCATGTTTCCCTCTGTCGCTCTGCCTTTCAAATAACTTTTATAGTAAAATAAAATTTTAACTTCTGTTATCTGAAGGTTCTTCCAAGTTTCCCAAAGCCCCGGACCGACAGGCCTGCTTCCACCTGGGAGCCTCAAGCCCCACCCTCCCATCCCACAGGTGCAGGTGCACCTGCCCGGAGGCCCCTCCCTCCCCGCCCAGGGAGGTGAGGCGAATGGCAGAGTGTCAGCCAATATTTGTTCTGCTGGAGCTGCCGTCGGTCCTGGAGCCCACTTCAGCCTGATGACTGGGCAGGACTGTGCATGGTGGGGAGTGGGCAGCGGGGACTCTGAAGTCAGGGCCAGGCATACCCCACCCCACCTGCAGGAGCTGCAGGTTAACGTGGCCTCAGGACAGGCCTGGCACAGGGGCTGCTCAATCCGAGAACTGGTAGAGCCAGTTCACTGGGGGAGAGAACAAAGGCCAAAGGAGGGGCCCTGGGCTGGGGGTGCTGGCCCTCGTGCCCTCGTGCCCTCGCCGGACGGCCTGCCATGCACCAGTGCAGGGGTACAGCACCCCAAGCCCAGGTGGCCTGGGGCCAGCACGGGGGCGGGGGGGTGGGGAGGGACATCCCAGGCAACTCTCAGAGCTCCACCCATCTGCTGCGTCCCACCACCCTTTAAAGGGGCAGCAACTCGACTGAGCACCAGGTGGACGTGACCTCTGACCTAGTTAGGCAAGCACCAGCTGAGGCCTGGATTCGAGATGTGGGGAGAGATTTCGATAGGACTTGGGAGGCCCCGGGTGGGCTGGTGGGGAGCAGAGGAAGGGTCCCAGCCTCGGGCCATGAACTTCAGAGCAGAACGTTGGCCCCCTCTCTGGGCCACGCTGGGGCTTGGTGCCCATCCTGACCATGCCAGGCTGGCCTGATGCTGCGGGCATTAGCCAGGGGCCCTGGGGCCCCAAGCACACTCCAAAAACCCAAGCAAGTTTTTTGCAAAGAAGCAGTTTTGCTGGAGGTGGCGAAGGGCACGGGAACGGAGCTACCTGGGGGTGGGGGGACTAGGTGTTGCTAACCCGGCGTGGCCAGGCCGCTGCTCAGGCTGGGCACCAGCTGTACACGTTGACAACTCTCTTCGGGAGCTGGGGCAACCAGAGAAAGGACAAGCATTGCTCCAGCCTGTTCTGAAAAACTGTGTCAGCACCGTGTGGCCAGGCACACACATGTGCACACATGTGCACATGCACCCTCTGGCCTGCAGCAGGGATCGGGGGGAGGGCCCCACTCGGCCTGGGAGAGGGCCAGGAAACAGACCCTCGCAGGAGGGTCAGGCCCGGCCCAGGGCTGGACGAGATGGGACAGGAAGAAAACAGGATACAGGGCAGGAAGGTGGGGAAGGCCGAGCGGCTGCGGCCAGGGCCTGGCCGCTGTGACCACTGTTGGCTGCCCACAGCACACCCCGAGGCCCTGGGGACAGCGTTCACCCTGGGGACCGAAGGCCTGGGTCCCCCTGGGGACGCCGGGTGCCGAGGCCTGAGTTGGTCACCTGGCCTCCGGTCCCCACACTTGAGGTCACTATCCAGGGTCCCAGACTTCCACTACTAAGGGTCCCTCCCTCCGCCCCCACGCCCCGGGGCGCCTCCCACCTGCAGGATCCCAGTGTTCTCTGGAATGAGGCCCAGGCTGGTCTGTGGCTTCTTCACGGTCCCCAGCTGGGGGTGAAGCACCTCCAGGGAACCTCCCAGGGGACTCGGTACTTTGGGGAGGGGGCCTGATGAGCAAGTAGGAACCCAGGCCACCGCAGATGCTTTGGGATGGGGGTGGGGGTGGAAGGGCTGGCAAAGGGCTTGGGCTGCTGGGTCCACAGCCCATTCTGAAACCACAAGGTGTTTCCTCCCCAGGTAGGTAAACACGGGAGCCTCCCTCCCTCCCTCCTCCCCTCTCTCCCTTCCTCCTCGGCCTGCAGCCCCACATTGAGGGACAGGCCCGGTGCCCCCTTCTCTGCCACCCACAGCCCTAAAGCCCTATCCTAAGAAAGCCCAGCTCCAGCACTGGGCAGGAGCTGTGGGGCACTGGAGAGACACAGGCCCGGTCCCCCCATCTGTCGCTGGAGCTCCGCTCTCCACCGCTGGGCACCTGACCTTCCCAGGGTGGGCACGAGGGCATACGGTGGGGTCTGGCTTCTGGGGCTGTGCCTAACTGGCTGATGAGAGAGCCCTGGAGGAGGGAGGTCCCCTGTGTGAGTAGGGACCCGGGAAGTCAGAGCTGTGCACCTGTGTGGCTGCAGCAGCCTGGCTCACGTTGCCAAGAGAGAAGGGATGGGCCGGGAAGTGGCCTTGCTGGGACCAGGTCATGTGTTGGGGACTAGGAGGTGGCCACGGTGGCACCTGGGGACTCTACGCAAGCATGGACCGGGTAGAAGGTGCCCCAGTCCCTCATCAGCAGACCACAGACAACCCTGAGAGTCCCCATCTCCCAACCCGAGAACAGAAGGTACCAGCAACCCTCGCCATGCCCACACCAGGCCTCAGGGGGAAAGCCCCCCACCCCAGGGGCCGCCAGCCTGGAAGCTGGGCCCCCCAGGCCTGGGGACAAGTCCCGTCGCCAGGCTGCCTCTCTGCGTTCCAGGCAAACCTGGGCCTTCCATGGCCCCGGGCATCCGCGAGGCCCAGCGAGGCCCTGCCGCCGCGCACCAGCTGTTTTCCCGGCCGGGCTTTGTTTGCATTGAGTCAGCCGGGGCTGTGCGTCGGGGACCGTGGGCACCCAGGGGCTGGAAGGGGAGCCTGGCGGCGGACAGGGGGATGGGGGCGGGGGAAGGCTGAGATGCGAGCCGGGGGGCGGGGCAGGGGGCGCACCGCGGCGTTGCCGCCTGGAGGGGTAGGCACACGTCAGCCCAGAGTGGCAGCAGCGCCTGGGGGGAGAGGGGTGTTCCTGGGAGAGGAGGCTGGGGGATGGGGGGGCCAGGGCCAGGGATGGAGCCCCGAGGCGCAAGCCGAGGGATCCAGCTCCGGCGCTGGTCTCCGCGTCACCCTCCCGGCCCGTGCTGGTCTCATCTCGGGGCGAGCCAAGTTCGCGAGGCCCCCCGCCCTACCCAGCCCCCAGCCCGGCAGGTGGAATGGGAGGCTGGGGCCCCGGCGCACCTGCGTCTTGGTGGTGAGCTGGATCACTGCCTTCCGGAAGTTCAGCTTGGAGTCGGCAGACCCCATGTCGCCGGAGCCCGCACCGACCCGACCTCCTCCCGGACTCCAGCCCCGGCCCCGGCCCCGGCTCCGGCTCCGGCTCCGGCTCCGGCTCCGCGGCCCCCGCCGCTCTGGCAGGAGCCGAGCCGCGAACTCCGCCCGCCCGCCGGGCGTCGGCCCCGCCCCCTGGAGACCCCGCCCCGCTTTGCCCCGCCCTCGCGTGACTCCGCCCTCTGCACCTGCCGCTCCGGCTTCCAACGGCGCCCGAGGTCGCGAATGGAACCCAGCGCCGCCCCAGGCTGCGCGTCCTTCTCATCTCCCGGGTGTGCGTGCGCCCTTCCGTCTGCGCTGGAACGCTGTCCCCGCCCCACGTCTCCCATTGCCACCCGGTCCCCAGGTCCCCAAGTGCCCCCAGCGTCTCTTCCCAGGCCCCCTCCCCGCTCGGGGCCCACATTTTCCCAGCCGGCCCACTCCATCCGAGTCTCCTCCTTTTCAACCGCCCTCCCCATTCTTTCTTCCCGTGAGAATCCGCTCTCCGGGTTCCCTTTTTTCTGACCTGTCAAACCCACGTGTCCAGGCAGCTCCAGGCTCAGCCCTCGGTTCCGGGGAAAGGAGGCGCTGACTAATGTCCCCGCTCCTGGAAAGCGACTCCCAGGCTGCACAAGAGGAACCGGTGTGAGCGAGGCCAGGCCAGGGATGGGGGCGGGGGCGGGGGGCTGGAACAGGTGGCGTAAATCACAGAGCCTGCCCTTGCAGAGCGCATAGCCAGGAAAAAGGAAAGGTGTGGGCTCGGAGCTTGGCTTTCCCAGAGGTAGACCGCTGAGAAGAGGAGGAGGACCCCACGGTCATCTCGGGCGAGAAGCATCCACCGCTGGGGGGGCTTTATTGCCCCCGTGTTACCCTTGGAGAAGCGGAGGCTGCTGCAGTTCACGGACTCGCCCAGAGCCACGCAGCTGCTAAGGAACAAACCCCAAGGAGCAAACCAAGTCAGGCCCCAACACAGGTTGTGTTTCTTCCATGTCAGCTTGCCTGCTGTTTCTGGAAGCTTCTGGAGCCCCAGATGCGTCAAAGAGCAGGGTGGGACGCAGCAGGTGTGGAGTGGGGGGGCATGGGAAAGGGGATGGAGAGGGGAAGGGGGAGGTGTGGGGAGTCCACAGTTTCACCTGAGAAGCAGACACAAGTCTCAGTCATAGAATAGCCCCCTCCTTTCTCCAGAGGTGAGCTGTTTCCACCATGGGCAAAATCCTTGGCAGGTCCCATGGCTTTTCTAATCTGGCCAAGATAATGAGTGAATAGTGCCTTTAGTTGGCATTTTTTTTTTTTAAATCCAGTCTGTTCTACAAACCACTCAACCCCCATCCATGCCAGAGTGACACTGAAAACATTGAATTGTAATCCTTAGAGACGTGTGAGAAGAAACCACAATAACATAACATAATAATAATAACGCAATACTACATAGCCTAGAAGAATGACCACAAGCCCAGAAAGACCCTGACGTGCAAAATGCTGATGAGAATGAGGAGCAGCTGGGGCTCTCCCACACTGCTGGTAGAAATGCATCTTTGGGACCGGCGCCGTGGCTCACTTGGCTAATCCTCCGCCTGCAGCGCCAGCACACCGGGTTCTAGTCCCGGTTGGGGCGCCAGGTTCTAGTCCCAGTTGCTCCTTTTCCAGTCCAGCTCTCTGCTGTGGCCAGGGAGTGCAGTGGAGGATGGCCCAAGTGCTTGGGCCCTGCACCCACATGGGAGACCAGGAGAAGCACCCGGCTCCTGGCTTCGGATTGGCGCAGCGCAGGCTGTGGCGGCCATTAGGGGAGTGAACCAACAGAAGGAAGACCTTTCTCTCTGTCTCTTTCTCTCTCACTGTCTAACTGCCTGTCAAAAAAAATGCATCTTTGGAAAACAGTCTGACAGCACCTTAAAAAGTTAAATACATGGGAGTCAGCATTGTGGTCTAGCAGGTAAAGCCACTTCCTGTGACACCAGCACCCAAATGGACAGCAGTTCATGTCCCGGCTGCTCCACTTCCAATCCAGCTCCTTGCTAATGGTCTGGGAAAAGCAGTAGAGAACAGCCCAAGTTCTTGGGCTCCTGTTATCCATGGAGTTCCTGGCTCCTGGCTTCAGTCTAGCCCAACCCCAGCTGTTGTAACCATTTGGGGAATAAACCAGCAAATAGGAAAACCTCTCTCTCTCTCTCTCTCTCTCTCTCTAACTCTTTCAACAACAACAACAAAAAATTATCACACTATTCTATCTACTTTTATGCATTGTGAAAATGCTTTTAGTGAACATTTATAAAAGAAGTTAAAAGACAGAGGTAGGTAAAAAAAAAAAAAAAAAAAAAGACAGAGGTAGGTACAAAGAGAGAAAGACATCTTCCATCTGGTGGTTCACTTCCCAAATGGCCACAACAGCCACCGCTGGGCCAGGCTGAAGGCAGGAGCCAGGACCTCCATCCGGGTCTCCCACCTGCGCGGCAGGAACCCAAGCACTTGGGTCTGCTAACGCCAGGGGCATTGGCAGGAAACTGAACTGGAAGTGCAGAGCCTCCAGGACTCCAATGGGGGATGCAGGTGTCCCACCTCGAACCCCAACCCACAGCGCCACACACCAACCTCAGTAGTAAACATTTTTAAGACACAATCTGTCTACAGAAAAATATTATTAGTAAATAAAACAAAGCTTTTGAAAACTTAACGAAGACCAATCTCTCTCTGTGTCTCTCTCACTCGCTCACTCACTCTCACTCTTGCTGTCTCTCTAATTGACTTTCAAACAAATAAAACAGGCAGCAGAGAGTTCTGGGGTCAGGAGTGGACATCTGTCCAGGGAAAAGACTCAACAGAGCAGAGGAGGCGGGGCTGAGGCTTGGAGAAAGGCTGAGAATAACACTCACCCAAAGCAACTTGTCAAGGGGGGGTTTACCGTGAGGTTATCTGGGGCTAGCGGCAGTCGGGAGTCCTGGCAAAGGGAGGAAAAGTGGCCAGGACCCAGAGAGAGAGAAAGCGCCCAGCTGCAGGAGGGGCTCTGGAGCTGCCGCCTCCCCAGGTCGGGGAGGGAGGGAGCTGGGGAGCAGAGACCCCGCCGCCTCCCTTCTCCTGCCTCCACTTCGCGGTGCTGCATACACAGAAAGCAGAGAGCCAGGCAGCCTGCCAGGGCGTGGAGCAGAGCAGGGAAGACGCAAAGAGACCAGGAAGGGCAAATGAAAATTTCCAACATCTGCTCCGGTAACTGGGTTCCTGCCACCCACGCGGGTGACCCGGACTGAGTTCCCGGCTCCTGGCCCAGCCCTGGCTGTTGTGGGCATTTGTGAAGTGAACCAGAAGATGGGAAGCCCTCTTTCGGTGTCTGTCTGTCTGTCTGTCTCTCTCTGGCTTTCTGCTTCTCAAATAAATATAATTTTAAAAAGAAAATCCCCAGCATCCAGTTAGCAGAGAGAAGGAAGCCCCAGAAGCACAGAGCACTTGGCTCATCGGGGAGCAGAAACACCTAGCTGGGATGAAAGGAGATAAAGCCTGTGCCCTGCCCACAAAGGGCTGTGCACATCCTGATAAGAGGCTCTCATCTGATTCTGCGAGCAATAAAGAGCCTTTGAAGCCGCAATGATGTCACCAGCTGCCATTAAGTCATCCTAGCTGCTGCAAGAGAGATAAAGACTTGGGACCCAGGGCAGCCGGCTGGGGGGTGAGGGCTGCTGAGGCTCTATCCCAGGCAGCCACAGGCGGGATGGGGGGAAGGATGCAGGTGGATTCTTTTTAAAAAAGATTTATTTTTATTTGAAAGTCAGAGTTACAGAGAGAGGGGAGAAAGGGAGAGAGAGAGAGAGAGAGAGAGAGAGAGAGAAAGAGAGGTCTTCCATCCACTGGTTCACTCCCCTAGATGGCTGCAACAGCCAGTACTGGGCCGGGCTAAAGCCAGGAGGCAGGAGCTTCATCCGGGTCTCCCACGTGGGTGGCAGGGACTTACATACTTGGGGCATCCTCTGCTGCTTTCCCGGGTCATCAGCAGGGAGCTGGATTGGAAGTGCAGCAGCTGGAACACGGACCAGCGCCCATGGGGGATGCCGGTGTTGAAGGGGGTGGCTTCACCTGCTGTGCCGCAGCGCCGGCCCCTGCAGGGTGGATTCTTAAAAGTGGATGCCAATCTCATGTGTGTTACAGGTACTGTGGCTGTATAACAACCTCCCACGGGAACTGTTCTATTACATTCAGCCAAGCAAACAGGACCCAGCAGAGAAGACCAGAATGGCTGGGGCCGTGGTGAACTCGGAACAGCCAGGGTCAGGAACCACCTGGAGGCTTCTTCACGCCTGGTGCCTGGATTGGATGGACCCAGAATCTGGGCTCAGCTGGCGCTGAAGACAGAAACGTGAACATGTGACCTTGCCCTGTGCCCTGGCCTCCTGCAGCTTGGGCCCTGGTCTCTGGGGACCAGACACCAAAGAATGCCCATGGAAAGGGGGTCTTCCAAGAGAGCCAGGGGTAAACTGCACGGCTGTGGAAGTACCTAGCCTGGGAAGTAACAGAGAGTCACTCCCACTGTGCTCTGTCCGTTATAATAGGCAGAAGTCCAACAGGTTCAAGGGGGAAGGACCTAGACCTCACCTCCCACACAAGGCGGAACCAAGGACCTGGCGGTATATGAAACGGCCACGTTGTGGGCTGCTCTCCAGGCTCCCCCTCCCCCACACCTGACCCTCTCTCCTGCCCCTGCTTCCCAGGTCTGCTCAGCCCTGGAAAAGGCCGCTCCAGAGAGCTCAAGCCAGAAGCCCAGCGTCACCCCCACGTCAGTCCAACAGCAGGGCCCAGCTCATGCAGGGGACCTTTCTACCTTCCCCCACTGCCATCGCCCCCACCCTTGCCGGGCCCCATCGCCTCCCACCTGCAGCAGCTCCGCGTCTGTGCTCGGCAGAAGCTCCCCCACCGTGAGCTGCTGCAGTCTGAGCCCCGCCCCCCCACCCCCACCCCCGCCGCCCCTTTGCCGGGGATCTCTGTAAGGGTGGTTCCTTCCGCCGGGAACACCCTTCCGTGTAGCTGTCTCCTGAAAGCTCTCCTGAGGAGTCTCCCGTTCCCAGCCATCACAATTGCAGGACCGGGGTCTGCCTGGGTCCCAGCACCCTTAGCACCTAGCTCTGGGCCCTGTGCACAGC